CTAAGAATCGTCCATAACTCCAGTTCCAAGGGATCTGACGCCCTCTTCTGACCTCTGAGAGCATTGCATGACACTGGTGTACTTATATACATGCAGGCAATACACATATATGCATAAAATTAAAATACTAATTTTTAAAAATCCAACATTGAAGCTGGGCATAGTAGCGCACACCTTTAATCCCAGCACCTTGGGAGGCAGAGGCAGGTGGATTTCTGCGAGTTTGAGGCCAGCCTGGTCTCCCTAGCGAATCCAGGCCAGCTGCAGCTACAGGGAGACCCTGTCTTAAAAAGACACAAAATAAATAAATAAATAAATAAATCCAACATTGACCTCCAGCTTCCTCACACGTGTGCATCCATGCATACAAACCTGCATGTTTATACATAACACACACATAATTGTATGTGTGTACATAGATAATGTGCAGGGGAAAGGAAGCCAGTGGACCAGGGGCATAAGTTGTATGCATGGATGAGTCTGATGACGGGCAGACAGATGTTTCTTGATTTTATTATAGATTTTTGCACTGTTCTTGTTCTCACATTTTTATGTAAGCTTAGCATTCTTCCTAAATAAATATTTATAGATATGGGTAAAAATAGCTATTTTTAATTCAAAGAAAAATTAAAATCACAGTAATAAGGAACTGTAATCTACAGTTTTATTCCCTAGTAGGTTTTAAAACCAGAACATAAAAAAGACATAAAAGATGATGTAATGGCTAAGATTTAAAAACAAAACACATATGAAATTGAAACTGGTTTCATCTGCAGCTCTGCTACTGATTATCTCCACATCCTTAGGCAGCATTCTCAAGTCTCCATTTCCTCACTGGAAAGAAGGGGGTCGAGATAAAATCTGCCTCATAAAGTTGCTGGTAGTGGTTCTGGAAAGAGCCACAGAAAGGCTTCGCTTGCTCCTTGGCGTGTAGAGCTCCCGGTGGACGTCAGGATGCCCAGACCAGTGGTACAGACAGCTTCCTCATTCCCTTCCTCAGGTAGCGTGAGCCTGAGAGCATGAGAGAAATGTAGACAGAGAGGAAGCCTGCAGATCCACCTCACTCACAACACCATGCATCAGTCATTTCTAGAAGTCCAGCAGTCTGTTGAAAGAATATTCCATGACATGGTAGGGTGCACTCCAGAAATCTAAGCACCACTGAACATCAGAAGACCCATTATTATATGTGGTTTTCCTCTGTTTATTCTCTTCTGCCCAGAGTTGCCAGTCAGAATTGAAGAAAGTTTCTCCAACAGGATATCTAGAAAAATCACTAAAGCCATATCAGAATCAGGATGCGTGTTCTATGGTCCATCCTCCACGCAGGGCACCACATAAATGTTCTTCCTGCTTTGATCCACTGACAGCTGATCATTTGAGAAAACCGGTATTTAACACTGTCTCAACTGAAAGATCAAGATAACCACTGTGGGACTATTTAATGCTTCATAAAGATGGAAAATGAGAGATGTCTCAGTGGTTAAAAGCACTGGCTGCTCTTGCAGAGGACCTGAGTTTGGTGCCTAGCACCCACATGGCAGCTAACAACTGTTCGTAACTCCTGATCTGATGCCCTGTTCTGATCTCCATGGACGTTGCACAACATGGGTGCAGTTACATACATGCAGACAATACACTCATACTCATACAATAAAAATAATAAGGGGCTGGAGAGATGGCTCAGCAGTTAAGAGCACTGACTGCTCTTTCAGAGGACCTGGGTTCAGTTCCCAGCACCCACATGGTAGCTGTGAACCATCCTTAACTCCAGTTCCAGGGGAATCCGAAGCCCTCTTCTGACCTCCGCGGTGTTGCACAACATGGGTGCACTCACATACATGCAGGCAATGTACTCATACACATACAATAAAAAGAATAAATAAAATATTAAAAAAATAAATGAATGTAAAAATTTACAATAATTAAAACTTGGTTAATTGGCAAACTTAGTGGAAAACTGATCATTAATAGCATGCATCAAAATAAACACTAGGTAAGCTTACTGAGTGACGTGTAAGAGAGAATATTAAGAATATAGTAGTAAAGAGCTTCATTAATAAATGCTATAGGGGAGGCTTTTATGATACTAAAAAATAAGAGCCATAAGGGTGGAAAATTGAGAAATTTAGAGCATCTCTGGGGCCAAAATTACCATAAACAAGTTAAAAGAAAATTTTAATTAGAGGAAATGATTTGTAATCTATTTCATAGTTTTCATAAATAATTAAAAATGCTGCATGATTAGGAAACTGACAAAAGACAGAAATAAGTATCCCATAAAAGAAGTAAATCCAATCCGTATTTCATAAATAACCAATAAAACATAAAGAAAATGGATTAACACCATTGTGATATGAAGGGGAGTTCCTAATAGTGTATTCAGCCAAAAAAAAAAAAAAAAATGTGGTGCAACAGCACTGTGGGTAAATGTACTTGCTGCCGATCCTGATGACCTGAGTTTGATCTTCAGAACCCATGTGGTGGAAGGAGAGAACCAGCTCCTACAAGTTGTCCTCTGACCTCTACACACATGCCATGGTGCACAAACATGCAGACGCATGCATGTGCATGCATGCACACATGCACACACATACGGTTTAAATAAATGTAAAAAAAATGAATGGGGCTGCAGAGATGGCTTGGTGGTTAAGAGCACATGCGGTACAATCAGGAAGACCAGAGTTTGGACCCCAGAACCCACATAGCAAGCCAAGTGTCCCCCACACACTTGTAATCCCAGCTCCAAGGAGGCAGAGACAGGAGGATTTCTGGGACTTGCTGGCTTCCAGCTTAAAAACAATGCAAGCTTCAGATTCAGGGAGAGACCCTTCCTCAAAGGAATAGTGGGAAAATGATAGAGGAAGATGCCCAAAGTCCTCCTCTGAACTCTGCATGAGAACCAGAGGCATGCATACCCACGCAAACACATGAGCACATACCACACACACACACACACACACACACACACACACACACACGCCCACACACAAATATCAGTTTTTTAAGTGAAGAAAATACTTGGTCTGTCTGCTATACAAAGAAGCACAAATGCAGACAGCATTGAGATTACATAAACTTTGCCATTAAATTGTGAAGAGGAAATGCCTCAGGCACAGGGATACCAGTGCCCTCAACCGATGCTGCCTGGAACTGTGATGTGTGCCACTCTCTTAGAGGTCAGATTGGCACTGTGTCACAGGACTTGAAAAAGAGCATACCTCTTGGCAAAGCAACTCAACTCTTAAGAATTGAGTTTATCATGAAGAAATAATTGGTCGGTTAAGTTTACACATGTGGAATTAGATGCTCAGCAAAGTTTATTTACCACAGTCCAGTATTACTGAGGAATTATACTAGGTCTATATGATAAAATAGACTAGGGTAGTGAAGATTAACATCACAGAAATATATTTATTGTCACAGGAAAACACATTAAGTGAAAAGGCAAGCCCCCAAACTATGATTCAGTATGATTCCGTTTGGGTAAGAAAATAGACCTATGTTTGTGCATAGAAAATATATATATATATATATATTAGGATTCTCTAGAGGAACAGAGAAAATGAATGTACATTAAAAGAGGGGATTTATTAGACTGGCTTACATGATACAGTCTGATAGTCTGACCGTGACTGCCTCACACTGGGAAGGCCGAGAACCCGACCACTGCTCAGTCTGCAGGCTGGGTGCCTCAGCAGTCTCAGTCTGGTACTGAAAGCCTGGTGAATTCCTGAAGAGCCATTTGTCTTCAGTCCACATCAGAAGACTGAAGAGGCTTCTGATGTCAGCTAAGAGGAGCGGCAGTGGCTGGGTAAGTGTACTCACAGCAAGGCAGAAGGGGAGTAGATGAGCTTGCTAGCACAATCGGAAGGCACACAGGCGAAAAGCCCTTGGACCTCTATCTGGTCACCACCAGAAGGTACCATCCACACTTAGAATGGGTCTTTTGCTTCAGATAACCTGATCAACAAAATCCCTTACAAATTAGGCCAGAATTTCCAATGATTTCCAAAATAGTCCTAAAAACATATTTCAGCTATTTTGTGCTGTGTGTTTATATGAAGTCATATTCTCAGCATTGAGAAGATAAGATCAAAACTTTGGTCAATTCTGAAAAGCATTAAGGGTGCTCTGTGTGCTGCTGTGTCAGGTACTTAGCCAAGACTTAATTCTTTGTGTAAAAATAAACAACTATCTCATTACTGTGAAAATTTGCTTTCATCTTTAATAAATAATAAAATATTTATGTTACCTTATTTTAAAATAATTTTATTTATGATTTATTATCAGTTTGATTTTTTTACATTTGTATATACCTATAAATGCAGGGCTGTGCAAAAATTTCTTGGGTGTCAAATGATCAACCATAAACATATGTATATGCAAGCACCACTAAATGTATTCAGTATATTATATAATGTGTGTGTGTGTATATATATATATATACACACACACGTGTATGTATGTATGTAACAATAATCAACGAAGAGGTCATCAAGTTGAAAGGGAGTTGGGAGGGACATGGGAGGAGTTGAAAGGGGAGAGAAATGGATAGAAATGTTGTAAATACAGTACTCATGTAAGAAATTCTCAAATAAATAAGCTGAGAAGTTTAAAAAAAAAAAAAAAAGAAAGAAAGAAAATCCCTTACAGGTGTATCCAAGTGGTTTATCTCTTAGTTGATTTCAGAAACAGTCAAGTTAACAACCAAGATGAGCCATCATACACCAAAACATTACTAATGATTATCTTTGGGTAGAAATTTCAGTTATTCTTTCTTTGTCAATATTTTTCATGTTGATTAGGTTTTTTTTTAGGGGGGGAGGTCTTTTTGAGCCCCATGTAGCCCAAGCTGGCCTGGAACTCACTATGTAGACCAGGCTGCTGGCCTTGAACTCACAGAGACCCACCTGTCTCTGCCTCCCAAGTGCTGGAACTAAAGGTCTGTGCCACCATACCTGGCTGATTGGGTAATTTTTTTTTTTTTTTTTTTGTAAACCACTCATACTGTGTTCTCTCCCTCCAACTCCACCAGAGGCAAAGCAGAATGGTCATCAGTGGCCAAAGGCAGCTGCTTAAGAGCAGCACCCAAGCCAGCTTCATGCTCAGGAGAGAACACTACACCTCCTCCTCGTGGTTTCCAGTGCTCTACACAGAGAAATTTCTCTAGTAACAAACTATAGAAATGATCCCTGAAAGTATAGTCTCAGGGTAATTTTTAAGATACATTTAGCCAGGTGTGGTGGCGTCCACCTTTAATCCCAGCACTCAGGAGGTAGAGGCAGACAGATCTCTGTGAGTTCATGGCCAGCCTGGTCTACATAGCGAGTTCCAAGCCAGTGGGGGCTACAGGGAGACCCTGTCTCAAAAAGACCAAAAAAAAAGAAGATACATTTTAAAAATTCTGCAAAGTAAATGGACTCAGATAAATTGAAGAAAAATGTATTCTAGATGAAATATGACAGCGACAGGGTAGCAAGGTTGGGGGCTCTAGGGGGCACCAACTCACAAGTGTTGGGATGCCACAGAGCAGAAAAGACTGGTGCTTGATGCTCCTGTTAGAACTCACTGGTTCACTCCTTTTTCCGACACCCTGGAGGTCTCCAGAATGCTTCTATGGTATCACTTAAGTGGAGCATCTTTTCTAATGAGAATTTGTGGTTACGGCCCCCACGTGTGTACTTTTAATGATGATACTCTTCCTGGTTCTTTGGCCTCTGGTTTACTGCCAGCATCTTGTTCACTTTCTAAATAAGCCTTATAATGACACAGCTTTGTTCCATTACAGAATGCAACTGCTCTGCCAGGCACTTGGAGAAGAACAGACGTGCACTTAGAAAACCCAGAATACCACACCCGATGGTATTTCAAGTATTTTTTAGGACAAGGTAATTATGCCATTTATGGTCACAGAGAAGAAATGATGTTCAAAACTGTATTATTTCTGGCACCCCATATAAGTAAGTAGAACTAACTAATTTAAGGACACATGTTTTGAGAATTTCACGTTAATGTCAGTAGTAAGTTTGTAGGTACAAGATATGATTCAGAGTCTCCGCTCTTAAGTTTTCTTGGTGCATGGGTTGTGGGATGTTTTGTAAATTTGGGGGTTTGTTGTTGATTTTGGGCAGGGGGTCTTTTTTTTGAGACAGGGTCTTCCTATAGCCCCAGCTGGCCTGAAACTCACTATGTAGACCAGGCTGACTGAACTCACAGACATCTGCCTGCCTCTGCCTCCCAAGTACTGGGATTAAAGGCCTGCGCCACCACACAGGCTGTTGATTTTTTTTTTTAAAGCCCCAAGCACTAACGGGTATTATTAAATCATCTGAGTATGTCTTTGAGAGCCAAGACTTTTCAGGATAGAAAACCAACTTTGAGCAAGGTCACTTCTCTATCTGCTGTGAGTTTTGAATGTTTAATTCAAGACAGTGAAGGAGACCATTGGTTCCCTGGCCTCCAGGGCCAGTGTTGAACTGTTGGACATTAGATTGTGGGCTCTGCCACATTCAGGCACTAGTGACAAGTACTTCAGTACAACTGTTCGGCAGGCAGTACGCAGAACACTGGGGCACAGTGCAGAAGGAGCCTTGCTCTTTACTGTCATGGAGCCTGTAGAATGGGTCCACATCATGGTTCTGCTCTTCATAACCATGGGACTTTACAAAAAAACTCAATTTCTGTGTCTTCCAGACAGGGCTATTACTAGTTCCTCTCTAGTAGGCTCGGACAAAAGTTCCAGTGAAATGGTCCAGAATAGCACTAATTCAGTGCCTGACATCCCAAGAGCTCAGTCACTAAGAGCTTTCAGATCCTGTACATTTAGACCAAGGAGCTGGGAGCGCATGAAAAGGTGGAGAGCTAGAGTGTCATTAATGGGAAAAGATATTGGGAATGGAAGAATAATCGCCAAAGTGGGATTTGAAATGAGTTAGAGAGGCTGCTCACAGGACAATCGTTTGTAGAACGTGATGAACATGTAATGTTTGAGCTGGGAATGAGTAATGAGACCTAAGTGATGCCTTTCTTAAAACCAGCTACAGGGCTGGGAGGTGACTCAGTGGGTAAGAGTGCTTGCTGTGAAAGCTTGAGGGCCTCAGTTCAAATCCCCAACACCTACATAAAAATCCAGGCCTGGCTCTGTGTGCCTATAACCCCAGCATTGGGGGCAGAGACAGGTGACTCCCAGGAGCTTGCTGGTTAGCCAGCCTGACCAAAACAGAGAGCTTCCAGTTCAGTGAGAGACCCTGTCTCCAGGAAATAAGGCACAGCCTGGTGAAGGAAGATGCCTAATGTCCTCCTCTAGCTTCTTCCTGTGTACACACAGGCATGTGTGAATTGACACTCATGTGCATGCAACACAGGAGAGAGAGGGGGGGAGAGAGAGAGAGAGAGAGAGAGAGAGTAAAAAGTTCATGGCTTTGACCAGGTAGGATTTAATTGATGGGTGGGGGAAGTAAAAACATTCATAAAGGAAAAATAGCAAAAAGGTGTCATCTTCCCAGTGCTGTGAGCATAATGGCCGTAGTAGTGGCTTTACAGCCAAAGGGCCACCAGAGTCCAGAGGTCATGGAAAGCCTAACTCAAACTGGTTTAAGCAAAAACAGGTAAGACGAAGGAGGGAGGGAGGGAAGGAGGGAAGGAAGGAAGGAAGGGAGGGAGAGAGGGAGGGAGGAAGGGAGAAAAGAAGGAAGGATGGGAGGAAAAGGAGGGAGGAAGGGAAAGAAGGAAGGAAGGGAGGGAAGGAAGGAAGGAAGGAAGGAGAAAGAAAGAAAGAAGAAAGAAAGAAAGAAAGAGAAGGAAGGAAGGGAGGGAAGGAAGGAAGGAAGGAGGAAGGAAGGAAGGAAGGAAGGAGAAAGAAAGAAGAAAGAAAGAAAGAAAGAAAGAGGAAAGAAAGAAAGAAAAAGAAGAAAAGAAAGAAAGAAAGAAAGAAAGAAAGAAAGAAAGAAAGAAAGAGAAAGAGAAGGAAGGAAGGAAGGAAAGAAAGAAAGCCGGCCCTGTGGCTGGTGGAGTCAAAGGCTCAGTAGTATCTAAGATCTGGCCTTTCCCCTTCTGCCTTCCCTATCCTCTGTGTGGCAGCTTTGCCATCCTCAGGCCCACAAGATGATTTCAGCAATTCTGGGCTTCCCTTCCACATTCTTCCACTTCCAGCGGAAGGAGACCATCTTGAGAATGTGGAAGCCTTTCCAGAGCTCCTTGGCAGATTTCTCCTCTGTCTCATTGCCCAGCATTGAGTCACATGTTCATTTCTGAACCAATCACTGGCAAAGGGAAGGGAGTCTGAAATTAGTGGATAGTGGTCAGCTTCTACCCTAGTAAGTTTGGGGATTACTGTGCCCTCTCCCCCAGCAGGTATGTGGTGGGGTGGGCACCACTGTGTGCCTGGAGGAACTGGATACATTCTCACTGTTCTCCACCGTTTCTTTTCCAGTCCATCAGAATTACATTGGAAACGACACAGAGAAGAGCCCCTTCTTCTTGTCTGTGACCCTTTCCGACCAGAACAATCAGCGTGTCCCTCAGTACCGTGCAATTCTGTGGAGGAAAACAGTAAGTACTTGGCTTACACTCCCACATTGATGGCATTTATTAATTCATTCAACACACATTTCTGGAGTTCTTGAAGTTTCATCCCCATCCCACAGGTCAGTTAGCATCACTGTCAGGTGGCTCAGGTAAGCCATTTTCTGGGAGCTTCTCTTGTAGATATATTAGGATTATACTGTTCTGAGTTAGGACCTCCAAGCTCTGGATTTAACACCAGCTTCTCCCTTATCTATAAGTCACTGACCAGACATCCTCAATTCCCCCCCAACAAGTCTTGGCCTCTGGGAAATAACAGTATATCTTATAGAATATTTCAGTTCATTAATCATAACTATTTCTTTCGGAGGACATTTAATAGTTTTATTTGTTTGTTTGTTTTTAATGTTTTTTCATTATTTTTTGAGACAGGATCTCATTTTGTAGTCATGGGTGGCCTAGAAGTTGCTATGCAGACCAAGCTTGCCTCAAACTTTATTATCTTCCTGTCTCTGCCTCCTGAGAGCTAGGTTTACAGGACTGCATCACCACACCCAGCTAGCTCAGAGGGATTGTTGTGGCGTCCTTCTGGGTGTCTCTGCAGGTGCACACAGGAATGTAAAAGTGCATGCGTGTGCACGCACACACACAGACACACGCACTGTCACACACCTGTTACCTGAACCAGGTAATGTTTGGCCTGCACCTTGAATCTGCACAGTGCTCACCTCTGGTTGTCCAATATATCCGTGCACTTGCCCCCATTTAGGCATTTGATGTTTCTACCAGAAAACAGAGTGGTTTTACTTGAATATTGACTCTAGAAAGCTGAGCAAGGAAGGCAATGGGGAGGGAGAGCTTTGCCAATTTGTAGTCAAGCAAACCATAAGTCAGAAGTCCAGGAGCCCTGGGCTCCTGTCCACACAGGCCACTCATGAGAGTGTCATGGTCACCCAGGCTGGAGCCTTCTGTTCTAGGAACTGCTCCTTAAACTGCCCTGACTCCTCTTTAAAACTGCCTTTGGTGTGTTTGATGAGAGGAGCAGGGGGTCAGAAGGAAGCGAAGCAGGAGGCAGGTTAGCCTCCTACATGGGTGAACAATGGAGGCTGGAACCAGCAAAAATCAAGGTCACCAAAAGAACTCAGCTCCCAGTGAGTGGGACCTGGGACATTTGAAAAGTGGATCCCTGTCATCATATTCCTCTGTTTGGTCCTATTTCCAATCCCTGTACCCCAAACTACAAAAAGGCAAGTTCAGCCCAGTTCCCTGGCCAGTAAAGAGCCCAGAAGGAGGGCCTGTGTGTGGTGTACTCTCATGGCCTGTGTCGAAGATATCTTGCCATCTGGCCTGGAGCCCTGTGAGAGTGTCAGGTCTCCTGGATGTGAGTACAAATGTTTTCTTTACTAAAAAAGATTACAGGTTGAAAAGGCTGAGGGATCCACTCCCAGGCCTTGTTCTGAACTTGGGTAGAGGAGTTAGTGGAAGTGGCCCACAACACAAGAAAAGTCATAACTTACTTCTCTGTTCATTTCCTGCAAAATGTCTTGACCCTTCTCTAGTTATTTGTGATGCCAATTTTATGCATTGTCAAAGTTAGGAAGGAGGCCCTAAATGGGCACCGTGTGGTCATCTCTTTTGCTAACCATGTCCAGTAAATCCTGTATAGATTATAAATGTATGTCATCGAGAGAGAGAGAGAGAGAGAGAGAGAATACCAAATCATTCAGGGAACTCATGTAGTTCCTGTCAAGTAGGCAAATATTTGCCCAGGTCTTTCTATGAGTTAGTCACAGTGGGTACTCATTTAAATAAGAGTAAGTGACTTTAAATCAGCACAGATAGATATAAAAGTGCATATTATTAAAACCTCTCTAGAGGATTCAGGTGATTTCTAGCCAAAAGGTCTTTGAGGTAGACACAATGTACTTGGTCCCATTGAACAAGCAGAGACATTTTTCCTTATGATCTTTGAAGTTTGTCTGATTCTTGGCTCAGAAACAAATAAATGCCCTTTTCAACTGGTTCAGATGCTGGGGTCTCGATTTCCATTAGGTGAGGATAATAAACTTAGAGGAAGGGTTTGCTTGGGTTCACAATTTTGGGTGTTTCATTCCATGGTCAGTCCAATTGACAGTTGCTTTGGGGCCTGTAGCAAGGTAGCACCTGATGGCAGGAGCCCTGGATAGAGGAAACTGCTCACCTCAAGCAGCTGAGAACCAAGAAAAGAGGAAGAGCCCAGAGCCCCACAATTCCCCTTTGAGGGCACACCCAGCCCCGTGACCTAAGACCTCGCCCTACAAAGCTTCTAGCACCTTCTAATAGGCTGATGACCTAACCTTTAACACACAGGCTGTTGGGGGATGTTTTCCATCCTGTAGTAGATGGCTCAGCTGTCCTCCATGATATAAAGATCCTGAGGTCTGAAACTAGACATATGTCTAGTGTCGAGGACAGGATGCTGTCAGACCAAGGCAAGATTTTTTTTTCCAACATAGAATGTGTTTCTTTCCCAATGAACCCCTTAAGGAAGAATGAGAAAGAGCAGGCCTAGTTTCATAGCAGTGACCAGGTACAGTGACCAGGTGAGGCTCCTTCAGAGGTGGAAGGTTCCAGATTCATCTCTGACTTGGTGCTTTGACTTTTCCAGGGTACACAGAAAATATGCCTTCCCTACAGTCCCACCAAAACACTCTCTGTGAAGTCCATCTTAAGGTGAGTACTACCGACTGAAGCCCAAGTACATTGGAGGCTTTAATGGATTGTGTGTGCCTGGGATTGCTGTGGGTGAGCTTTCCATGGTGGCACACCAGGCTCTTTGCTAAGCACTAGAGGCTCCACAGTAATCCCAGAGGGCAGGACTATCATTGCCCCCCTTTTACAGATGAGGAAGTGGAGGTTCAGAGAGAGAAAGCTGGGCTTTCACATCTAATGTATGGTGAGGCTGAGCCCAAGTCTGGCACATTTCAGGCATCCCATCTCCATTCTTTGCCTACTGTTATTTATTTTCTTTTTGCATTCACTTTACAAAGAAAATCAAGAAATCTTTTTCGTTTCATTTTTATACTTTGAAATAGAAACCCAGATGTCAGCAAAGATTCTCTGAGGGGAAAGTGCTTATTCTTCACCAAACATCAAGTAAGATGATTGGAACATCTGGTGCCCCCTCCCCATTCCACGGCTTCCCTGCCCCCATTTTCCCACCTCCCTTTTCATCTCTCTCCCAGGCCTGGGGGAATGGCAGCGCCAGGATTGAGCTTGTCACTGTGTCACCAGCTTAGATGTTGCATCATAATGATGATGATGTCATTGTCCGACGCTGAGCTAAATACCTTGCAAGCACCCCCTCAGTGTCTCTCTAAGGGAGCTCCATGAAGCAGACCTACAGTGGCTCCATTCAGGCCTCAGAGAGGGGAAGGGATGCTGCAGAGGTCTCACAGCTGCTGACTTGGAAGCTCGGGGGCTCTGGGGCTGGGGCTGTTTGCTGATGCCATCATGTGTGGAGGAGAAAGTTTCTCCCGGTGCCCAAGTGCTTGCTTTTTCTGTACTCCTCTGAGCCGGGTGTGGTAGGATATGTGTGTCTGGTGTCTCCATGGAAAGCTTCCTTGCTGCAGCTCAAACCAGCAGAAGTCTCTCAGTGGCCGTTTGGGCTCACTCAGTTAAGGACGGCACCTGGCTGTAAAACCCGCCAAGTGTTGCAGTCCATTCTCAAGCCTGATTTCATTTCCAAATCACAGCCCTTCCCCTCTGCTCCTGGATTTTCTGGTTTAAAGCAGTCTAAAACCTGACTTAAGCATCAGCAAATAGGTTAACATTAAAAAAATTGCCACTTTTAGCCGGACGTGGTGCTGCACGCTTTTAATCCCAGCACTCGGGAGGCAGAGGCAGGCAGATCTCTGTGAGTTCGAGGCCAGCCTGGTCTCCATAGTGAATCCAGGACATCTGGGGCTACAGGGAGACCCTGTCTCAAAAAGACAAAAAAAAATCCACTCTTTTTTATTGTTTGATAATTTCATACATGATATAGAATGTGTTTTTATCAAATCTGCCTTCCCATTTCCTCTCTTCCTCCTCCCTTACCAGGGATCATTGTGGAAGAAGGAGCAGAAAGATTGTAGGAGGCAGAGGCAGTACATGGCTGCAGTGACAGGGCATTTTCCAGACACAGCAGGGTACATCACATGTGAACTCACAGGGTATGACAGAGGCACAAGATCAAGCCAAACAAAACCCTAGCATGGAGGGGGAGGTGGTCACCAGTCCCACCCCTGGATGAGGAGCTGTTGGCAATTGATGGCTGCTGGGGGAGACCTTTGAAGTTAACATTCTGTTGAACATAGAAATATCTCACTGCATCTAAGGAACTGTAAATTTCAAATTGATGTGAGAGCAATACTTTGACTTCTACTGGCTAAAGATTCCTGTGACTCTTCTTTTTCCTTAAAAATTAGTCAAGAAGTTGTTTCTTCTTTATGTTCAAAGACTAAGCATTCTATTTAGTTATAATTTCATTGAGTTACATAGGCAGTGCCCACAATTTTCAATATACTGTTCACAGCCAGAACAAGTCATAGCAAGAATCTAAAGATGGGGAATGTCTATACTTGCTGCTAGTCAAAAAAAAAAGATTTTCAACATGAACTTGAAAACTTTTTTTTATTTTTGAGACAAGATTTCCTATTTGGCCCAAACTGGCCTGGAACTCTTGATCCTCCTGTCTCGAGTGCAGCATTACAAGCAATTATCTTGAAAATTTATAAGGCTCACATGCTGGGCTGGATATGTTGCCTTGTGGGACAGAGCAACTTGCCAAAGAAAGAAATGCCAGTTAATACAAATTATGCTTCATCACTTTTCTGGTAAATAAAGAAAAGAATGTGGGAGAGGAGCTCATAAGACTCTACCCCTTCCTGAGAGCTCTAGGCAGCCAAGATTGCTGGAGGACAGGAAGTCATTTCTTCAGTATAGTAGACATTGGCTAAGTTGCCCATACTCCTGTAAGCAACCATAATTAAACTCACTGAGTCACCAAAAAAAAAAAAAAAGACGTGAAAATAGGAAGGAGAATTGGAAAGAAGGGATTGGGGCAGGAGGTGTAGGAAGGGGTAGAGATTAGAGAGGATGATAAGGGGTGAAAATGACCGAAACACATTGAGTACATGCATGAAATTGTCAAAGAATAATAATAAAATAATAAGCAAATAGATTTTTCTAAATATTTATTAATTTTTATTTTATGTGTATGAGTGTATTGCCTGAATGTATGTAAGTGTACCCATGTCATGCAAAGCCCAGAGAGGTCAGAAGAGGACGTCAGATCCCCTGGAGCCAGAGTTAGGATGGTTGTTAGCTGCCATGTGTGTGCTGGGAGGCAAACCCAGGTCCTCTGCAAGAGCCCATCTCTCCAGCCAGTGCTCTTAGCCACTGAGCCATCTCTCCAGCCCCAATAATTTTTTTTAAGGTAGGAATCTGGAATTTTAACAAGGATGCCTGAAGCAGAGGTCCCTGATCCCTCCCTCTTGCTACATGAGTGTCATTAACGGACACTTACATACGGAGAGTACAGTGCAGCAGTGGTGACACTTGTGGATTTGCTCATTGATGCCCCACTTGCCAGTCTGTGTCTCCAGCATGTCAGCCCCTTCGGAGAATCCAACCATGACCTAGAAGATACTATCTTCTCTGGAGAACTGAGATTGGCTCCCACCTCACTGTAGCTCACTCTGTCTGCTCTGTTTCAGTGCCATGAATCTGGACAAGTTTGAGAAAGGCCCCAGGGAAATTTTTCATCCTGAGATACAAAAGGTAAAGGAGACCTTTGTGCTTCAAAATTGTATGAATTTGATTGTCATGTCACCATGGTCGGGTAGTCTAGTCTGCCCAGGGAGAAAAAGGTTTGGAGTCATAGTCTGGATTAAGTTCTTCAGAAAAATCTTAGTAGCATTTTTGTCTTGCAGCTGTGATCAATTTAGCTCTGAAAACTTCCACTGGAAACTTGGAGCTGTAGCCATCTTCACTAGGCTTCAAGGAAGTGGGGTACCAGGGCTTGGTGACAGGGAAGAAGCTGGAGACGCTGCCTGGAACTATGTCCAGGAAGCAGCAAGGAACCAGTGAGGTCCTTAGGCAGAGCAAGATGCTCAACTTTACTTGGGGGAAATAAATCAGTCAGGATATGGAAAACTGATCAGAGCATGAGCAACCTTTGCCTATGTATCTTTGAGGTAAGCTTTCAAAGTGATGTCATTGACTCTCAGCTTAACCCAGATGCACAAAGTTGAGAATTCCCATGCATTTAGTGGCATTTCATTTTTAAGATAGTATTTAGGGGACTGAAGGGATGATTCAGCAGTTAAGAGCCCTGGCTTCTCTTACAGAGGAACCGGGGGTTTGGTTCCTAACACCCACAGGACAGCTAGCAACCATCTCCAGGGGCTCTGATGCCATCGTCTGGCCTCCACAGGCATTGCATGACACAAGTGCACTTATATACATGCAGGCAAAACTCATACATATAAAAATTAAAATTAAATATTTTTTAAATAGTATTAGGGCTGGCAAAATGGCTTAAACAGGTAAGGGTACTTGCCACCAAGGCTGATGATATGAATTTAATCCCCAGGACCCACATGATGGAAGGAGAGAACTGACTTCAGCAAGTTGTTCTCTGACCACCACATACACTCTGAGGCACCTGAGTGCCCTCCCCCATACACACACATAATTAATTAATTAATATTAAAGAAATAATAAAATAAATGAGTGTGTTAGGTTAAACTAAGTAATTTTAAGCCATGTTATATTTAAAGTGACTATGACAAATTTAAAAACAAATTAAAATTATACATATGTCAATAACAATGTGTTTTTATAACTTTCTTATACAACTTTGATTTTTTTTTTTTAACCAACAGAGTTTCACATGTAAATCAGGCTGCCCTAGAACTCACTTTGTAACTCAGACTGACCCCTGCCTCAGCCTCCTGAGTGCTGAGAGTGTAGCTGTGCACCAGCCCACCTGGCTGTTATAACAGATGTTTAATTCTTTCCTTCTTGGAACCTGCGAGTGACCCCCACTACTAGCCCTGCTCCCTTGACACCACCCGCAACGCCCCAGAGGTGCGTCTGCCAGTGCCCGCCTCTGCACAGATTCCCTTGGCTGTCCTCATCTGCACAGCCCACCCCAGCTGCCTTCTTTCTACACAGAGCAAGACAAGAGACTTAGCAGCATCCTGTCCGCTCACCTTACTACCTCACCATTCTGTGCCTGTTTTCTAGCAAACAAAAGATACTTTCATGCTTTCCTGAACATTGTGTTTTGGCTTTTTTTTTTTTTTAAGTCAGGAACACTCAGAAGCCTCCAGGGCCCAGGTATGAAGCCCAGTCCTGCAGTGTCACTGTTAAGAGCTGCCACCAAGTTTCTGTAGATTTCCATTAAGAGCCCTTGACAGCCAGCTTCAATGCAGAGAAAGATTCTTTAACAGTCACAGGACCCACACAGTGAATAGAAGCTAAACCAACTGTATTGCAACGGGGGCAGTGTTCCTCCAAGAAGAAGGGGGCTAGTGCTATAAAAATGCTGTCCCTCTGCCTGCTACACTGCAGTGGCGTTTCTCTTGACCAAAATCCTTGCGGTAGCATTGTGATTAAGTTAGCTTTAAATAAGTGGAAAAACTTGGGGTCTCTATGTTGTCTTTATGCCTCCTTCCAAAGCTTTTGCTTCTAGATAATTGTGGTATGACTTCCCTGAATAACCAGGGATTATAGAAAAATCTGCAATATGAAATTTGAGTATTTAAAGCATTCCTAGGTTTAGGGGGAAAAGTGTATGTAAAATCTCAAGTCCAATATTGGTTTTATAAAACTTAAACATCAGCCCCAAACTAATGATTAGAATCAAAACTCCATAAATTATCATGCCAGGGCCTGGGGAGGTGGCTCAGTGGATAAAGTGCTTGCTGTACAGTGTGAGGACCTGATCCAGATCCCCAGAGCCCACATAAACCCAGACATTGGTAGTGCACTTCTGTAATCCCAGCTTTCCTGGAGCAGGATAGGAGGAGACAAGAGAGTCCCCAGAAGCTTGTGGGCCTGCTAGCCTGCTGTACACAGTAAAGAACTATGAGACAGCCAGTCGCAGACAAGGTAGAAGGCAAGAACCAACACTCCCACACATAAACGTTCACACACACACACAAATATGAAGAGAAAAAGTAAGTAGGGCTATATTAAGAAATACCATTACCAGCCAGGCATGGTGGCCCATGCCTTTAATCCCAGGAGAGGCAGAGGCAGGCAGATCTCTGTAAGATTGAGGCCATCCTGGTCTCCATCACAAATTACAGGCCAGTTGTGGCTACAAGAAATCCCTGTCTCAAAAAGATGAAAAAAAATTTCTAACAAAATTAGACCTTCCAGGCTGAAATTACAAACTTGGAAACAACAAAAAGAGACCTAACATCAGCTCATAAATACAGCAGCAAAAGTATTTTAAAACCCTGAATTATGTCAAGTAGGACCGTGGTAAACCAGGGCATATGGCAGGAGCACCCACTTCTAGGCAGATATAATCCTAAACAAGGAAGCCATAAGTTAGATATGACCTGGCAGCCTATGGCATCCCTCCTGCCCCCAGGACTTGAGTGCTGAGACCCTGGCTCCGGTGCTCAGCAGGACCCCTGGTGTGAGGCTGTTCCTACAGCATGGCCACTGTAGAAAAACCCATTCCCATCCAGGGACTGATGGCAAAATGCCCCAGTTCTGACACTTGCTGAGCTAATGGCTGTTGGGAAGCTGACAAGTATGAACGTCTCCTTGTCTTACTGACCATGGCTAGTGCAGAAGGCATACCTGCAGCTGCCCATGATCCAGAGCTTAACTCTCCATCCCTTGCAACCTTAACCCAGGTTCTGCTAGCCCTCCAACTCTTCACCTGTGATTCTGGAACAAGTAGGCTGCATCACAGGGTGGTTGAGACCAGAGGGAATCATGGAAAAGAGAATTTTGCAATGAAGTGTGTAATGACATGCAAATAGGAAGCAGGTCCCAGTGTATGAAATGCATAACAGATTTATTTTCTCCTGGAATTCAAAAATGTTAAGGAAGTCTGGATTCTGAATGAACAGGCCTTCTGTTACATAAAATGGGGGTTTTGTGTGCCTCAAGCAGTTCCTTCAGAATTGTCAGCTCTCTGAGAAAGCCTTGGACAAGAGGACAAGGGCCCCTCAGCCTCTTCCACCTCTATCCTGGTCTTTGTCTTCTCTGTCCTCAGTGTGGCTGACCTGGACCCACCTTCCCCACCCCCACTCATCCAGGGGTCCCCATTAAAGCCTCTGACTTTGGTACCCACTGATTAGCTTCTTCAAACGTTTACATGTGGAGGAACTGCATGAGGTTAAGTCTCTGTTGTGTGCCAGGCATTCCATCTACACCCATCCTTTCACTTCCCAAGAAAATGAGTTTTCCTTGGACCACAGGTGAGGCACAGAAACAGGTCAAATGATTGATACCCAAACACAGTTAAATAGGTGAGCAAGCAAAGAGTCAAAGCCAGGATTCTTTAGGGTCACCACTGCTCCGTGCTGGTCATAGGAAAGGGTCTTTTTAGAGGAGTTGCATTAGTATCAGGCAATTAATGGAATGTAGGGGAGCCTAAGACTCAACTCTGCCTTAAGTCTTTGATTTTGGTACTCAGATCTCTATTTCTCAATTGTATTTCCTTACTAAGGGGATATTTTCTTGAAGCAGCAAGTGGCCTTGTTATGACTTGGGGAGGGTGAGCAGCAGTCAGTATCCATCAGAGCTTTCCTTTCTTTTAAATATTTCATTTGTATTATTTTATGTGTATGAGTGTATTGCCTACAGGTAGGTAGGCACACCTGTGTCATGCAATGCCACGGAGGTCAGAAGAGGGCATGGATCCCCTGGAACTAGAGTTAGGACAGTTGTTAGCTGCCATGTAGGTGCTGGGAATAGAACCCAGGTCCTCCACAAGAACAGTCAGTGCTCTTAACCGCTGAGCCAACTCTCCAGCCCCCCCCCCAAATCAGAGCTTTTCTGTTTCCCCCAAAGAAAGATCTCATGACCAACTTCTATTACCTTCAGATGTCATAACACCAAGCATGGACATGTGCTGATGCTTGGCTTTCACAGAGAAATGTAGCCAAATAATCACTATGATGCATAAATGTAACTTTTGAAACTTTACTTGACAGGACTTGCTGGTTCTGGAAGAACAAGAGGTGAGTAGTTCATGGAGAGATTGGTCCTCTGCTCCTTATGCATAAATGTCAGCCCCCTTGTAAACACAGCCTTTCCTTTCAGTCAGACAGCTGTGGATTCGCAGTATGGGCCTGTGAAAGGTTTCTTCAAGGTATCCTTCAGAATTTTCCATACAGATACCTATAAATATATGACTATGCTTAAATCTGCATAAATATGTAAATATTCTTTTTTTTTTTTTGGTCTTTTTGAAGCAGGGTCTTCCTGTAGCCCCCAGCTAACCTGGAACTCACTATGTAGACAAGGCTGGCTTTGAACTCACAGAGATCCTCCTGCCTCTGCTTCCAAAGTACTGGGATTAAAGGCATGTGCCACTACGCCCGGCAATATGTAAATATTCTTAAATCTGACATTCAGATGTTAGCCTTGGGATCAGGGTAAAGAGGTGTTAATGTCCATCAAAGAAGGACGTCTGTGTGTTAGCCACACTCTTGCCATGCAAGATGCCGAAGTTATTTGCATGCTTCATTCCCTGTTACTCCCATTATGCACACATAAACCTCTGCATGTAAGTAACAAAAAGAAATGTTCAGCATGTCATCAGTAGATGACTGAGAAAGGAAGTGACAGTTTGTGCATATTAACCTGCAAAAATGGCAATATCATTGTCTAGTTGTCTGGGCCACACTTCGTAAAATCCCCAATGCCTTCATTTCCCTGACACCCCAAATCTAATCCATCAGCTCATCCAGTTGATACAACTTCATAAAATGTTCTAAACCCAAATACTTCTCAGTGCTTCTGCTGCAAGCACTCCGATGAATGGCTGCTACCCACTTCACCTCTGGCCGAGAGTGCACAGGCCAGATCTGTTTCTCAATTCTATCTCCTATGGGAATCTTTGCTTGAAGCAGCAGGTGTCCCTGGTAATGGAGGAGTGAGCAGCAGTTAGTATCTGTCAGAGCTTTTCTGAGAGATGTGTGGCCCAAGCATTCCCATTTAATTCTGCGGCTTCTCAGCTAGAAACAATTGGGACCATTTTCCTTGATTCTAATCCATTCTAGTGATAAACTATGAAGATGGGCAGGGGAAAATGTTAATAAGGAACACCGCTGATGTTTCTAAAAGGTTAGCTATTTAGTGAAGTGAAATTAGTGTTCTGAATCCCACATTTTATTTGCTTGTGACTGTCCAGACAGGCACCCCTCACAAGAGGCATGGCATCCCATACTGTAGACACGAGGGAGGCCAGCAGATGGTGGGAACAAGGGAGTCCTACAAATACAGCAGACTGTCCAATCAAGTCACAAAGAACCCAGGGAGTCAAGTTTTGAATAAGGCCATCATTTCTCAGTTCCAGAAGATTCTTCTGGAATCACTGGGACCTTCTTCTCCAGCTTTACTTTTCACAGAAGGAATATAATTCCTAGCGTTCTGTTAATTCCAAAGAAAATGGCTGCACATTGGTTTGTAGTCCTGTTAGGTTTTGTCTCATAAAATTTAGAACTAGGGGTTGGAGAGACAACTCAGCGGTTAAAGGCATTTCCTGCTCTTTGCAGAGGATCTGGGTTTGATTCCCAGCACCCACATGGTGACTCACAATCTGTAACTCCAGTTCCAGGGCTCTAGAGCCCTCTTCTGGTCTTTGAGGGCACCAGGTATGCACATGGTGCACATACATACATGTAGATTAAAAACATAAAATAAAAATAAATCTTTTTTAAAATTATGACTACTTTAAGTTCCATACAAATAGGAGTGACAAATATAACCTGTTTCTGTGTCAGAGCAGGACTCAACATTCTGAAAAAAATCAGTACCTATGACTCCCTCCAGCAGGCATTTCCCTCCAAGGGCTCAGGCCTGAACTTGAGTTGTGGAAAGCTCCCTGCATTCCTCAAGATCAGTGTTCATGAAGCACTGTGCTGTTCTGTTGTGTGGCTTATCCATTAGGGTTGGAACTCAGTAGCAGAGCATCAGCCTAGCATGTGTGGTGAGTGAGGCCCTATGTTCAATCCCCCACACTAGAAAACAACTCAAAATAATCCATTATGATTGGGTAACCCCAGATCAAACTACCTCTCTAAACTATGAAGTAATTCATTATATTAAAAGATACCTTGATTTCTGAAAGCTCTCTATTAGTTGTGGACCTCATTTGTGAAGTCTTAGAAACAAAATTAGCTCAATAAAGCCCTATAAGATGTGAAACCTGGTCTGGAGAGATGGCTCAGCAGTTAAGGACACTGGTTGTTCTTGCAGAAGACCGGGGTTCGAATCCCAGCACCCACATGGCAGCTAACGGCTGTCCGCAACTATCTGATGGCCTCTTCTGTCCTCCGCAGGCATTGCACAACACAGGTACACTTACCTACATGCAGGCAATATACAAATACACATAAAAGAAAAATAATAAATAGAATTTTTAAAAAAAGATGTAAAACCTCAAGGCAACACCAGTCCTTCTGGAATACCCACCAGAAGCAGGAGGCTCCACACAACTTATCTTTTAAACTGGGACCCTTTGGAGAGCACTGATAACACCAGGACAGCAAACAAAAGAGCTGCAAGCCAGGGCCGTCACAGTAAACATGGATACATGTGGTCCTCCAAGTGACCTTGAGACTTACAAGTCTATTCATGCACAGGTACCTGAACCATCTCCATCCTGTACCCTCCCTGCCCTGAGACTTTACAGAGCTTCAATCTTATCCTGATAATGTGCCTCACAACTCTAGTCCTTCCGAGGCCTCTACGTGAAGCAAGCGAGGTCCTCAGTGCACTGGTAGCATGCTGCCAGATTCAGGGTTTCCCCATGAAGTCTTATAAAGCTTTGACCAGTGACATGGAGGCCCCATCTCTGCCTGCAATGTTCAACTTTTCTCAGTGCAGACTTCTTCTGAGAAGGCTGTGCTGTGGTGTTGACAAGAGCCCTGGTCAAAAGTCAAGAGACCCCCATTCCATCTCCAGCCTACTGTTCACTTATAAGCAGCCTTGGGCAAGTCTTTCCTTCCTTGGGCTACCTATCCATGCATTGTAGCTCCCTTCTAGTTCTCATGGGCTGCTAATTGATGGTCCATAGCTCTGATTACTGACCTAATCCTTCTGCACCAAGCTTGCTGGCTGTCAGGTTAGCAGGGCTTCCCAGTTTGTTCTTTTGGGCCACTGCTTCTTAGAGTGTCTTCCCTGGACCAGCAGCAACAGAGTCTCCTAAGAATATTTTCAGTGCAAACTTCTAGGTCCTATCCCAGACCTGCTGAGCTGGAAACTCTGGGTTGGGAGCCAGCTAGTTTCTAACAAGCCCTCCAGGGCTCCCAGTGCCTGTCAACTTGAGGCCAAGCATGAAGAACTGCAGCTTCAGTCCTTGCATGCTTGCTCCAAGAGGGAGTTCTGCTAGACTCCAGACTGCCACAGGTGCTTTTTAAGAGGTTCCAAGAACAAAGGGGTGCCAGCATCTTGGGGACATGTGATCGCTGCCATCACTTCCAAAATCGAGGAAGAAAAGTGATGACTATGGAAACCCAAACTGGGTAGAGCTCCCTGACCAAACAACAGAAATTGATCTAAAACTGGTGTGAGGAGGTGGCCACCCCAAGGCAGCTGGTGAAAAGCTTTTCTGCCTTTCTGATTTATTATGCAGTCATTTGTCCATCTTTTCTATTGTCCCCAGCCCTGTGCTCAGCCCTGCAGAGTCAGTAGTAATTACAGCACATGTGATCCTCCTCCAGAGACTTGGGCTCAATGAGAAACAGATAAATGTACAAGTTCAAGAGAAGAGTTAGACTGTGGATAGTGGTTAAAGAGAATGAGCAGTGCTGTGGTGGAGAGTGGGGGGACCTCTCTAGACCTTTCCATTGGAGCTGTGACTTTCCTCATGGGGAAGAGCACCACCCCCAGACACTGGGGGAGAGGTCCAGGTGGAAGGCTCAGCTAGGAGTACCCTCCCTCTTTCCACATCTCTATAGAAAACCACTGTTACAGATGGGTGGTGCAACTGTCTCTCAGGTGTATTGGGGACAGAAAAATGTTTATTGGGGACAGAAAAATGTTTCAGATTCTGGGGGTTTTTTTCTTTTCATATGTTTATGTTTGTGGTGTGCATGCGTGTGTGTTCACATGTGTGTAGGCATACATGTGCACGTGCATGTGGAGGGCTGAGGCTGACATCAGGAATCTTCATCTATCCCTGTTCCACCTTATTTATTGAGGCAGATTCTCTGAATCAGACCCAGAGTTCAATGATACTGCTCGTCTTGCTAGCCAACTTGCTCTGGGGATTCCCTTCCAGGGCAGGAATTACAGGCACCTCACCACGTGCACCAGGCATTTATGTGGGTTTGGGGGATCAAGACCCCAGTCCTCTTGCTTATGTGGCATGTGCTTTAACCCCTGAGCCATCTCCCCAGGCCAGGGTTTCAGATTCTTTTTTTAATATTTTATTTATTATTTTTATTTTATGTGTATGAGTGCACCCGTGTCATGCAGTGCTGTGGAGGTCAGAAGAGGGCTTCAGATTCCCCTGGACTGGAGTTAAGGACGGCTCATAGCCACCATGTGGGTGCTGGAAATCGAACCCAGGTCCTCTGCAAGAGCAGTCAGTGTTCTTAACCACTGAGCCATCTCTCCAGCCCCTAGGTTTCAGATTCTTAATTCTTCTGACTCACAAAATTCTGCCTTGATGCCAACCCCTGACCCCATTGGCCAGTGCTCTATCACCCATCCCTTGACTGACCACCACCAAGAATCCTCCATCCAGTGATGGGTCAGACAACCTTGGGAAGTTGATATTCTTCCAACAGTGGATTTCTTTCATTATGAAATACTTCAGACATACACAAAAATTTAGAGACTAACATAATTAAAATCTATGAACTGCCTGCCCAGATTAAGGACAAAAATCATTCAAAACACAGTTGAGGGACTGGAGAGATCATTCAGCAATTAAAAGGTCATACTGCCCTTGCAAAGGACCTGGGTTCAGTTCCCAGCACCCACATAGGGCATCTCATAACTGCATATAACTCCAGTTCCAGGGGATCCAATGCCTTCTGCTGGTGTCCTCAGGCACCTGCATGCACATAGTGCCCATAAACCCACACAGATACACACATAAAATAAATAAGTACATAAATCTCTAAAACAAACTAGTTGAGACCCTGCCTCTGCTTGCTGGCCCCACTCCTGTCTTTCCCTCGTCTCTGCAGAAGCTGCTGTCACACGCTTGGTATTGTCACTTCCACAGGGTCAGATTGTATTGATCTGCTGCTCAGAGTTGAGGGTGACAGACTCACACTGGGACTGGCCACTGCCTGCTCAGCTTGCTTTGTTTTTCATTTTGCACATCTGTGACTTGTTCAGATTAAATATCATCAAGAATTAGGAGAAATGTGCTTTTGGTATAAATTGCCCATGATTTCCATATCTATTTCTAGAACAGCCCACCAGACAATCAGCCTGAGATTGTTATGTTTGGTTCTGAATTATAATTATCTCCCCTTTGCTTCTGGGAACTCTTACTGATGGGTGGAGCAGAACACAGTACTAGCCCCAGAGGTGCTCATGACCATTTGTTTGTGGCACTGTACTGCCCCAGAATGGACCTCACATCCCACCAAAGCCCTTACTAATGGAATTACAAATGAATTAAGTGATATTGAGGCAGAGCATCTATCAGTAGGCTATTTTGAAACCTATAAAAATGAAAGATTGACTTGTTAACATTGATCAAAATCGGGGCTAGTGGAGGAGGGGATCCCCCACATATCCATTCTAGTGACTGTTGTAATCCTAAATAGCAACAGCATATCTCATAACTACAAATGCTTTGGTGATAAGATTAACTTTTGTGTCTTTAACTGTCTCATTGTAAGGGCTCTGTGAATTTCAAGTTCGGGGTTCTTTTTGCCAAAGATGGGCAGCTCACAGACGATGAGATGTTCAGCAATGGTGAGTGGCTTGACCTTGTTCCTGCTGAAGGAAACCCTGCTTTTCCATCTTGTATTTCCAACAGCCAAAACAACTTATCTGTTGGGTTGGAATCTTTAGTGCTATGAGCCAGTTCACAGAATTTCAGGATAAATTTTATAAGGCAGCTGTTGATAAATTCATGCATTTGGCAAATATTTGCTGACGCCTCATCCCTACCAATCCCTTCCCTGGGTACTGGAGACGCAGCTTGAGTGAAATGTGTGTGGATTTGGAGAATTTTGTTCTAGAGTACAAGGTTTTTCTTTGCTATTTCTGGTTGAAAGTGCAAACTGTGCCCTCCTCCTGGCGTTCACATTTGCCGTGTTATAACCCTGTTTGTCATTAAGAGAAACAGCCATAACATCTTCATTCTGTGATTCTAAGCACTCTATCTGGTTCGTCTGGTTCTATACTTTCCTTCCCTTGGATTCCTGGGAATGTGAAATTTCCTTGTGCCTGGAGTAGAAGGCAGTGTGACCATGCTCTTGTGCCTATGGTGCTCATCAGGAATGCCTAATTGTCTAGTGATTTCAGTGAATCGTTAGGAACTGAGGACTTGAGACCCACACTTTCCTCATACTATACCTCTTCCTACAGAAATTGGAAGTGAAGCTTTTCAAAAATTTTTAAATCTTCTGGGTGATACAATCATTCTCAAGGGCTGGACAGGCTACCGCGGCGGGCTGGACACCAAAAGTAAGCTTACCCATTGGTATAATTGATAAAATTCTGTTACCTTCTTCTGTATTTGAACTTACACCCAAGAGAGGGTTGAGCCAGAGACAACTGGAGGGAAGCTGGAGAATAGCCCTAGTCTGACAAGGGTCAGACTGACACATGTTCATTGTCTCTGACAAGTTCATTGGCTTTTCAAGACTAATTTCATATTGGAGCCCCTAGGAGGTGCCAGGGGATGTGGTCAACCAATAAATAGAGTTATGTACAGCCTAATGCCATCTCCGTCAACAGGGACCACATCTACTGTGAGTTCTCATACAGTTATACTGCCTGATGACACAATAGCCACCGCAGTTTGCCTAAGTGCACTCAGTGAGGTTCACACAACAGGGATGGTACCTAATAATGCATGTCTCAGTTGTCCCCATCATTCAATGATGCATGGGTATATACTAATGAACACCATACCATGTGTATGCCAGAACTGTGCTAAGCTCTGGGTCAGTGTGCAATGCATACCAACATGGCCCCTGCCTTATAGGCGCCTATAGTCCGTCAACAACATAGACATTACACAGATAGTTGTGAAATAGCTTGGCTATGAGAACTTAGAAGAACTTGGAAGCACATAGAGTACCATGGGGCACTTTGCCGAATCTAGGGATTAGAGAAGACTTCTCTAGGGAACAAGGGAGTGATGAGTGGGAACAGTTGGAAACTCTTGAGAAAAGAAGAGAATTCCAAGCAGAGAGAACATCTGTGAAGTCCTTGAGGCAGGCAAGGACATGATGTATTGTTCTGGAGGGAGCAGAGACCAAGAAGGTTGCGGTAGACTAGAGAAGCAGGGGTATCCCTGCAGGGGATGTAAGGTCCCCTCACTTGTCACTGAGTAAGGGAGGGGTGAAGTCAGGCTGCACCTTGGGGCAGCACTCTGGAGGGAGCAGGCAGGGGTGGGGCATTGGAGAAGTAAATGCCATAGTCCAAACAGGAGGTGGTGACTGCCAAGGCTGGTGGGGCAGCAGGCTGGCAGGGAGACAAGTACACAAATCCCAGGGCCCTTCTGAGGCAGAGGGGACAGGGTCCTATACTGATGGACAACCGGGGTGAAGATGAGGAAGGATTTTCACGGGGTCCCTGGGTATCTGGCCAAGAGGCAGCTGCTGGAGGTCTGGGATGTTGAAGAGGAACTTGCAGGAAGGGAGGGTAGATGTTAAGTTTATATTTGGAGTCCCTTAGCTCAGCTTCTGTGGATCATTTCTAGCATTTTCCTGTGCTTCTGCTTTTGTAGTTTTGTTTGATCTTCAGTCAAGCCTTGAAGAAAGTCAGGCAGGTGGAGTGAGGCACCTTTGGCCTAAATGTGACAGGCTCCTGGTCCAGGCAGCCTTACTCTCTGGGAGCCTGCCTTCCTGGCAGCCACACAGGCATCATTCCACAGATTGAGAGTATTAAAGCAGTGTGTATGGATTACCGCGGAAATGCCTTCATTGCCAGTCCAGGGGTGCAGGGCGTGGCCCCAACTTCCTTCTGTCTAGTTCTCTTATGTACACAATGAGTTCTTGAGTGCCTGTGACTCATCAGCCCCTGGCCAACTCTCAGGCCTTCTGCTCTGACTACCATCCACTGAGCCCCTGGTAGCCAGCCTTCTGCTAAGTTTAGCACTTAGTCAGGGCCATCTTGATGGGTCTTCCCAGCATCCCTGGAAGTTAGATACTTGGTTCCCCCCATTTTCTAATGAAGAGGCTGAGGCTCGGAGAAAAGCGAAGTGACTTATCAAAAATAACATAGGGGCTGGGGAGACAGCTCAGTTGGTAAAGTGCTTGTCACATAAGCATGAGGACCTGAGTTCGATCCCTAGCACATAAAAAGCCAGGTATGCTAGATCATGCCTTAACCCCAGCACTGGAGAAGTGGAGACAGGAGGATCCTAGAGTTCTCCCGCCAGCCCAGCAGGCCAAATCAGTGAGCACCAGGTTCAGTGAGAGACCCTGAGAGAGCTCTCAAAAAATAAGGTAGAGCACAATTGAGGAAGACACCTGATGTAGACATTTAGACTCCACATACATGCACATACATGAACACATACATACATACATACACACATAAGGTAACATAGCTTTAAAATTTAATCATAAAAACAATCAGACCTTTAAATTCTGACAGGGGAAAGAGTAGCATAGCTAATGAGAAATCAGAGCTCGAGTCCAGGTCCACCCACCTCCAGAGCCCATGCCTTTAATCACTGCACAGTTCTGCCAGAAATCCCACTTCCTTTTAATTTATGTGCATCATGGTTGTGTTATCTTGTGTGACTTTCATCCCTTTTGCCCACAGCAGTGGAGTAGAAGGTGAGGGATTGTAACATGCTCTCCTTTTAGCCCAGCCTGACCTCCTCTGTTCTGAGTTAGGCATGCAGCAGGCAGCAAGCTTGGAGTGCATAAGCGAGGTCTTTCCACAGGGGTAGGAGTCTCCTGGGAAGTGGAGAGTTGACACTTAGGTGATCGCTGCCACTTACAGGCAGGGACAACCCAGATGATCTTTGAAAATGTACTGTGTACTACATTCCTTCATCTGCAAATAAAACTATTTCCACATAAAGTCCTATGTCCACTGAATACCTCCTTCTGTTTTACAGATGACACCACAGGGATCAATTCAGTGTATACTGTGTACCAAGGGCACGAGATCATGTTCCATGTTTCCACCATGTTACCGTATTCCAAAGAGAACAAACAGCAGGTACGTGTATATGCAGGCTCTTTGGGAAAGCCAGCCATCAGACAGTAACTGAATGTGCAGCAAATACTCAGTGATTTCTAGAATTAGAGACTAGCTATATTGCTGTGAGCTCCACCAATTTTGGGACTTTTTATAGTCTGTACATGTGCACTGCCATCAAATCTCAGGAAGTACTGTGTTTACCAAAACTGCCATCTTAAAGACAGGATCAGGGCCAAGTATAGTAGAGTATGCCTTTAATCCCAACACTCAAGAAGCAGAGGCAGGTGGATCTCTGTGAGTTTGAGGCCGGCCTGCTCTACATAAAGCATTCCAGGCCAGCCAGAACTACATAGCAAGACTGTCTCAAAAAAAAACAGAATCAGCCGGGCGTGGTGGTGCACATCTTTAATCCCAGCACTCAGGAGGCTGAGGCAGGCAGAGCTCTGTGAGTTCAAGGCCAGCCTGGTCCAGGACAGCTGGGGCTACAGGGAGATCCTGTCTCAAAAAGAACAAAAAAAAAAAAAAAAAAAAAAAAAAACAGGATCAGAGGTAATAGTGTTTATGTACATGTATGTGTGTGACTATGGTTTAAAGACAAATCATGGGCTAGAGAAGATGGTTCAGCAGTTAAGAGCACTGACCACTTTTGCAGAGGACCTGGGTTTGAATCCCAGCACCGACATGGCAGCTAACAACTGTCTATAACTCCAGTTCCAGGGGATCTGACTCCCTCTTCTGGCCTCTGTGGGCATTGCATGACACGGGTGCACTTACATACATGCAGGCAGTACACTCACACACAGAAAATAAAAATAATAAATATTATTTTAAAAAAAGAAAATACCTGGAGCTGGGAACTTCATAAAGAGAAGAGGTTTATTTAACTCACAGCTCTGTGGTTTCAAGAGTATTTGCTGGTGAGAGCCTCATGGCAGATGATATTATCCTGGAGCAGTCACCTGGCAAGCAGTCAGCAAAAGAGATTCAGGGAAGATTCAGGGCTCACTTGTAACGACGTGTACTGGACGGACCTAAGGGGGTAAGAAGGAACTGCTGTGGCAAAAGCACTGATCTTGCTCAAAGACCTTATCACTTCCCACTAGGCCTCATTCTCAAAGGTCCCACAGCTCTTGACAGCACAGTGTTGGGAGCCAAGCTTCCACCACAGGAAGACTACTGAGAGACTGCCTCTGCTCTGGACTTGTGTCAGTGTGCCTTTGGCCTTGTCAGAATGAAGCTCTGGATCATAAAATAAGTTTGCTGTGTGGTGTTAGAAGTGCTTTTGGGGTTGATATGGGAAGTTCACTAAGCGCCATCCTGGGAAGATTTCTCTGAGGCCCTCCTCACCCCCACCCCACAAGTCGACCAGTTTTAGGAGAAAAATTTGTGCCTGCCTCTGCCTCCCGAGTGCTGGGATTAAAGGCATGGCCACCACACCTGGCCGAGAGCTCCTTTTTACTGCACCCAGAAAGTTAATACACATGTACAACAAAGAAAACTCAATTTAAGAAGAAAATTTTATATATATGTATTAAAAAGTACTCTCCATGCCGGGCGTGGTGGTGCATGCCTTTAATCCCAGCACTTGGGAGGCAGAGGCAGGCAGATCTCTTTGAGTTCAAGGCCAGCCTGGTCTACATTTATTGAATATGTCAATTGTGTTGTAATGATATGCTTCTTCTAAGTATGTTGTTATTAAATAAATCAATAAATAAATAAATAAATAAATAAATAAATAAATAAATAAATAAAGATAATTACTTCAAGGACTATAGGTAAAATTAAATTGAACATAACAGCCGGGTGTGGTGGCGCACGCCTTTAATCCCAGCACTCGGGAGGCAGAGGCAGGCGGATCTCTTTGAGTTCAAGGCCAGCCTGGTCTACATAGTGAGTTCCAGGACAGCTGGGGCTACAGGGCGACCGTGTCTTAAAAAAACCAAAAAAAAAAAAAAAGTAATCTCCGTAAGTGTTCATCTAGCTTTTAAGAAGTAATGTCGGCCTCAGGTAGACGGTGTCAAGGTTATGAAGTCTGCCTTAGTATCTATGGTTATAGCTTGATTCCTCCACTTATGACCACAGAAGAAAGGTTAGCTAGTCCAACAAAGGAACAGTTAACTGTTCTTGGCCAACATTCCTAACCACATCCCCACATTTTCCACTCGATGTGCTGTCATGTTTTTCCTTCCCAGTCGTCCCTGGGTTGTGTCCCCATGTGTACCACTGTCACTCTCTGACCTCCCTTTCTGTAAAGATGAATCTAAACTTCCTTTGAACAGAGCATGGTATTGGAACACAAGCTCCGCGCTTTAAAATCACCACATTATATGTATCTTCTCTGGAGAAATGTGTATTTACATTCCTTGCTCTTTTCTTGAATTGAATTGTTCTTTGTTGTTGAACAGTAGGAATGCTTTGTCTGTTTTAGATATTAACCTCTTGCACATGTGTGATTTTCATATGCTGCTTCCTTCTTCATCAGGCCATCTTTTTACTCTGCTAACAGCATTCTTTGATACAGTTTTCAATTTTGTTTTTTGTTTTATTTGGTTTTGGTTTTAGGAGGGTTTTGTTTTGGGGGGGAGTTGGTTCGTAAGTTTTTGGGTTTTTTTATTTTTGGTCTTTTTGAGACAGGGTCTCCCTGTAGCCCCAGTTGGCTTGGAACTCACTATGTAGAAGACTAGGCTGGCCTTGAACTCACAGAGATCCACCTGCCTCTACCTCCCAGGATTAAAGGCGTGTACCACCACACCCAGCTAGTTTTCAATTTCACTGTGCTCCAATTTACCTCTTTTTCTTTTGTCACCTGTACTTTTAGTGTCACACCCAAGAAATCATTTGAACTGAATTGCAATTCAATGCTCTATGTACATTAGTTTCCTTGTTGGTGAAATGGGAGAAATGGGAACATGTACTGTGAATCAGTCAGGGCCCTACCCTCCTGGAGTTTATGGTGCTGAATAGAAGACAGGGAATGTGGAGAGGAGCCATTAGTGTACAGAGTAATGAGCCACCCAGGAATGGTACTATAGGAGCTGGAGAGATGGCTCAACAGTGACGAGCCCTTGCTGCTCCTTCAGAGGATCAGAGTTCTGTTCCAAACACCCATATTGGGTGGTTCACAACTCCTATAACTCCAATCCAATGCCCTCTTCTGGCTTCCATAGACACACACACACACACACACACACACACACACACACACAATCTTTAAAACAGAATGGCATAGCCGGGTGTGGTAACATACATCTTTAATTCCAGCACTTGGGAGGCATAGGCAGGAGGATCTCTGTTAAATGGAGGCCAACCTGGTCTCCCTAGCAAGTTCCAGACCAGCTATGGCTACAGGGACACTCTGTATCAAAAAGACCAAAGGAAGAAAATACAGAATAGCATTATAAAAGTGCTTTGGGCAACAAAGAATGTGGCATTTAATGAAGATCAGGGAGGGCCTCCTGGAGAGGGCGCCATTTGGCTGACCTTACAGATAACCAAGAAAGAGCTGGTCCTCAATAAGAGGCTAGGCAAGCAAGGACTATGTGTTGTTTGCTTATTGCCGGGCAACAAGCCACTCCAGAAGTTACCAGTTGAAGACAATTTGATTTTTTCATGGCTTCGTATGTTGACAGGGCTCAGCAGGCAGGTTTTCCAGTGTCCCTTTGAGAATTTCTCATCAATTGCAGTCAGCCAGCAGCTGAACTGGAATAATTTAGGCTGGACAGGGCCGCTGAAGTGGCTGCCCTCTCTGCAGGTCTCCTGGCCTCTCAGCAGCATCTGCTGTGGCCTCCCCTTGGTCTCTACATCAATACTTCCACACTTTGACACATGGTTCAGGCCCCCCAAAAGCATGTGTTCTGAGAGGGAGATGGCAAAAGCTGATACTCCTTTAATTTATTTTTTAAAGGTTTATTTCTTTTTTTTTTGTGTGTGTGTGTGTGTGTGTGTGTGTGTGCCTGCATGAGTTTATGTGTACCACATGTATGTAGGTGCCCACAGAGGCTAGAGGGCCTAATTCCTGGAACTGGGGTTACAAGTGGTTGTTAGCCACCAGAGGTGGGTGCTGGGAACCTAACCCAGGTCCTCTTCAGAGCAGTAAGTGCTCTTAACCACTGAGCCATCTCTCAGTGAGGCTCAGTGGAGTGCTTGAGTAGCCTGCTCGAGACCCAGTGTACATGCTTGCTCCCTCACCCCGGCATCCTCACCTCCTGTGCTGCCTGTTTGAGCCTTGAACAGCTCAGAAGACAAAGAAGTGTGCTAAGGAGTAAAAGCAGTAACGTACAGAGACTGGGGAGGCCAGGAGGCTGGGGAGGAGGCTTCTGTTGGAGGCTTGGCCAGAGAAAATGAGCCTGGACTGAGAGAGGAACCCAGGCAACTGGGCTGATGAAACTTGGGAGGCAAGAAGTCAAGGTCATGTGAAGGTAGAGGTCGGGCTCAGTGATAGCCATGGTGGTTTGCTGCAGTGTGTTTGGTTTATAACTGAGAATATGCCGTGTTTGAGTGACTTTCTCAGTGATGTTTCTGTTTACCATAGGTGGAAAGGAAGCGCCACATCGGAAACGATATCGTCACTATTGTGTTCCAGGAAGGAGAGGAATCGTCTCCTGCCTTTAAGCCTTCCATGATCCGCTCCCATTTCACTCGTATCCTGGACCTTCATAAATGTTCCGGCTTAATGGCCTCACTGGACCTTGAATGACTGGCATGTTTTGTATTACTAGAGTCTAAGACACGTTTTTTGGGGATTTTCTTCCTATGCGTTTTTCCCTCTTCTTCCTTCCAGCCTTTGAAGTAGTGCATAGTAATTCTCAGGGGAGTTTTTTTTTTTCATTCTTTCTCAATTTCAGACATACATATTTAATGTACTTTGAACATATTCCCCCATAATCCTCTCTTACCACCCTCCCCCTCCTGCTGAGCTCCTCCTTCCCAACAAGTCCCCTGTTTATTTTCATAACTTTCAGTGTCCCACTCCATTTAACTAGGGTTGCTTTCATGAACATGAGTGGGGGGTTATTTATTTGCGCAAGGACAGTTACCCAGTGTCTACACCACCGAAGGATATGACTCTTCTATCCCAGCCACCAATAACTAACTGTAGCTCCTCAGGGAGAGGTGGGACCTCAGGATCCCCTACCCCATCCATCAAGGAATGTTGATGGACCAAGTCTTTTGCAGGTAATCACTGATGCTGTGAATTCAGGGGTGTCGCTGCCACAGCATGTCCAAAAGACAGTGCTTCACAGCAATCTCCTCTTAGGCAATTATATTTATTAGTTAATTTTGAATGCTTTTTCTGTATTATGTTAAGTGTGCCTAGTGTGTGCAGTGCCTTACAGGCCAGAAGAAGGCATCCAGATCCCCTGGAACTGGAGTTACAGACTGTTGTTGACCTCCATGTGGGTGCTGAGAACTGAAAGAGTAGCCACTCTTAACTGCTGAGCCATCTCTCCAGCCCCCAAGAATTTTTTAATATTTTATTTATTTATTATATTTTAGTATTTTTATTTTATGTGTATGAGTGTATTGCCTGCATGTATGTGAGTGCACCCATGTCGTGCAATGCTGCAGAGGTCAGAAGAGGGCTTTGGATTCCCCTGGAACTGGAGTTAAGGACAATTCATAGCCACCATGTGGGTGCTGGGAATCGAACCCGGGTCCTCTGCAAGAGCAGTCAGTGCTCTTAATCACTGAGCCATCTCTCCAGCCCCGATTTTTCTTTTAAGACAAGCTCTCACTGTGTAACTCAGGATGGCTTCAAACTTGCAGTCATCGTGCCTCAGCCATCCAAGTGCTAGGATTACAAGCATGTGCCACCATACCCAGCCTTGGGGGAAACCTTGACTTCTAGAATGCCTTCTCTTTCCTCAGGTAGTCTATAAAATAAGGGAAGCTTCTGTTATCCATTGGTAACCTGAAGAGTAAGTAGTAACTCCTCTGAGAAACCTGTTGTAGATCCGAGATTTTGTTGATGCATACCTGAATTACCAGCACGTTGGTGAAGGTTGCAAGTTTGAGGCCAGTCTGGGCTACATTGCAAGACCTTGTCTCAAAAATGAAAAGTAGGAGCTGGAGAGATGGCTCAGCAATAAAGAGTGCATACTGTACCTGCAGAGGACCCTCATTCAGTTCCCAGCACCCATATCAGGTGGCTTATAACCACCTGTAAATCCAGTCCCAGGAGATCTAACATCCTCTCCTGGCCTCTGCAACATATGTGTATACACCCCCACACAGATGTACATACACATAAATAAAAATAATTTTTTTTGTTTTTTTGAGGCAGGGTCTCCTTGTAGTTAGAGCTGGCCTGCATTCTCTATGGAGAGCAGGCTGGCCTAGAACTCAGAGATCCACCTGCCTCTGCCTCCCAAGTGCTGGGATTAAAGGCATGCACCACCGCGCCCGGCTAAAATAAGTATTTTTTTTAAAAATGAAGAAAAGGGGCCGGAGAGATGACTCAGTGGTTAAGAGCACTGAATGCTCTTGCAGAGGACCTGGGTTCGATTCCCAGCACCCACATGGCGGCTACGAACCGTCCTTAACTCCAGTTCCAGGGGAATCCGAAGCCCTCTTCTGACCTCTGCAGAACAGCATGACACGGATGCACTTATGTACATGCAGGCAATACACTCATACACATAAAATAAAAAATAATAAAGAGTTAAAAAATAAAAATGAGAAAAATAGGGTCTGAAGAGATGGCTCAGTGGTTAAGAGCACTGACGGCTCTTGCAAAGGACCTGGGCTTGATTCCCAGGACCCACATGGTGGCTGAAAACCATAACTTCAGTTCTAGGGAAACTGACACCCTGTTCTGGCCTCTGCAAGATTTGCATGAATGTGATACACTTGCATGCAGGCAAAACACTCATACACATAAAATTTTTTTAAAAAATAAGGGGTTGAGCCGGGCATGGTGGCGCACACCTGTAGTCCCAGCACTTGGGAGGCAGAACCAGGCAGATCTCTGTGAGTTCAAGGCCAGCCTGGTCTGCATAGTGAGCTCCAGGCCAGCTGGGGCTACAGGGAGAAAAGACCAAAAACAAATAAATAAACAAATGTTATTATTATTATTATAAGGGGTTGAAGAGATGGCTCAGCAGTTAAGAGCACTGGCTGCTCTTTCAGAGGACCCAGATTCACTTCCCAGCACCAATATGGTGGCTAACAATCATCCATAACTCCAGTTCCAGGGGAATCCAACGCCCTCTTCTGACCTCCCCAGGTATTGCATACAACACGGGTGTGCTTACATACATGCAAGCAATACATTCATACACATAAAAATAATAAAAAAATTTTAAATGAAAAAACTAGGTAGGCATGGCAGGTCAACTCCTGTAATCCTAGTACTCAAGAGGTAGAGGCAGGAGGTCACTGTGAGTTTGAGGCCAGCCTCTAGGCTGCATAGAGTCAATTTTTTTAAAATTTTTATTATTTTTATGTGTATGCATGTATTGCCTGCATGTAGGTAAGTGCACCCTTGTGCATTGCCCTCATAGGTCAGAAGAGGCTGTCAGATCCCCTGGGACTGGAGTTACGGACAGTTGTTAGCTGCCATGTGGGTGCTGGGATTCAAACTCAGGTCTTCTGCAAGAACAACCAGTGTTCTTAACCACTGAGCGATCTCTCCAGCCCCAGAGTCAATTTTTTTTTAAAAAATTAGAGAAAGAATAATTTTTCCTCATTGATTTTAAGCCTGATAATGGCTGCTGCACTAAAATGTGAAAAAAAGATAGAATTCATAATATTGTTTGCTTCCCCTACTCCCATTCAACTCATAGTGTCTGAGGATGCCCGTGACGGGACTGGTCTTCTTGGCAATGCTTGAGCTCAGCTCAGACAGCCCCAGAGCGTGCACCTAGCCTGCCCTGCCAGATCTTCTGTCATGGCCCACTTGCCATGGTCACAGGCCATGACAGCAAAACCCAAAACTGGTGGCTCTGGAGGCTGCCCACAGTGAACAAAAGGCAGCTAGCAGACATTTTCAGAATGACTTCTCATCTTTCTTCTCATCCCTAGAGGATCTAGTAAAAATATTTGGAGACAGACCGCTGCAACTCATGCCTCTGAAAATAGGCCACTGTCTCTATTCTGACTTGTCTCCTGAAGCAAACAACAGTGCTTTCAAGGAAGTGCTGGACAGTTGACATAGCCAGATTTCTTCTGTGAGGGTAGGGGCATCATAGTCAAGGCAGAAACAGGTATGATTTCTTTCTGCCCTTGCCCTGTGTAATTGCTAACGCTTCCCAATTCACTGGGCTGTAGCACTAATATTTCCCCTTCTCAGGATGGTGGTTTTTCTTATATAGAAAAACTTGTGAGTAGAGCATCAATGGCAAGGTGAGATGACTTTTATTTAACATTTATTATTCTTTATTTTATGTGTATGAGTGTATTACATACTTCATGTATGGAAGTGCACAAAGCCCACAGAGGTCGGAAGAGGGCATCAGATCCCATGGATGCCTTGGAACTGGAGTTATGGATGGTTGTTAGCTGCCATGTGGGTGCTGGGAACTGAACCTGAGTTCTCTGCAAGAGCAACTGGTGCTCTTAACCATTGAACCATCTCTCTAGCCCCGAGATGACTTTTTAAGTGAGAAGTTTAGAATTGCCCTTACTATAAGTTCTCTTTGTTGTGTCTGATATGTCAGTTTCTGAAAAGAACCAGTAGGTAGTTCATTCAACCAAGCACATGAGTGGACACCAAGGGGCTGGCTTCAGCCCTAGGTACAGCTGGCATGAGAGATGGGGCAGTCAGAGAGGAAGACTGCTGGGTGGTGTAGGTAGTTGTGCCATTTATTTTTTAAGATTTCTTTTTTTTTTTTTTTTTTGGTCTTTTTGAGACAGGGTCTCCCTGTAGCCCCAGCTGTCCTGAAACTCACTATATAGACCAGGCTGGCCTTGCCTCTGCCTCCTGAGTGCTGGGATTAAAGGCATGCGCCACCACGCCCGGCGATTTCATTATTTTTAATTATATGTATGTGTATATGTCTATGTACATGAACATTAATGTCTGTGGAGGCCAGGGCATGGGAGTCTCCTAGAGCTAGAGATACAAGCAGTCGTGAGCCACCCAACACGGGTGCTTTGCTGAGCAGTATGCTTTCTTACCACTGAGCCATCTCTCCAGCCCTTCGTTTTATTTTTAAAGACTTGTATTGAGTGGCTAGAGAGATAGATCAGCACTGGCTGCTCTTGCAGAGAACCTGGGTTCAATTCCCAGCACCTACATGATGGCTAACAATTGTCCATAACTCCATTTCCAGGGGAATCTGGCACCCTTTTCTGACCTCTGTGGCCATTTCACAACATGGATGCACTTACATAATGCAGACAATACACTCATATACATAAAAATAATAAAGTTTTAAAAAGAGAATTGTATTGAGATTAAATTCCCATAGTGCATAATGTATCTTTTTTTTTTTTTAATGCTGGAGACGGAACCCAGGCCTCCCACATGTTGGCCAAGTGCTCTGCACACGGAGCCACACCCCAGCAGCTGAGCTATTCTGGACTCTTTGGGCTCTGGCCCAAGCAAAGTAGACTCTGCTTAGAAGCTGCCACCAGCCTCGTTGGCTTGCTTTCCTATGCTGTTTTGTCTACCAAAGGCGGAGGAGAGGGAAGGTGCACAGTGGTAACATTTCAGTTGCTTTCCCATCTCAAAACCTGTGAGATGAAATACGTGACTAATCCCTGGGATTGTGTTTTGTTTCCAGGCAGGACAGTTGCTCCTTTTGTTCTACTGAATTCTTGGTTGTTTAATGTCTTTACTTGCATTGCTTTTCTCACAGCCTTGAAGGTTTTGTGGAATCTTTTCCCAGTGGGAGAGCACACAGATGCAAACCCTATTCATGGGCCTATCATGTATGTTTCCCTGGGGTGTCTCCTGTAAAGAGGTCGAGTTCTGTCCCAACTTGAAAGCAGTAGGTGCCTAACCACAGAAAGGCCTGCTCAAGAACACTTCTGCAGGAGGGATTTCACAGCACAGGCTGTCAGGTGGTGAGCTTCAAGGATGCGGATTGATTGCCTTGACTGTCCCCACAGATATCTTTGCCTTAGTGAGGTATGACCAGCAAAATGACAATTACAGGTAGGTGATGACCTCATCCATTGGCACTGGTTCTCAGAGAATCCTGATGTGCTTTCTTCTCGATGTGTTTAATAGACATGTCCTCACCTTATAGAATATTCTGCAGTAGGGCGGGAGAGCTGGATCAACAGTTAAGAGCACTGACTGTTCTTGCAGAGGACCTGGGTTCAATTCTCAGCACCTACATGGTAGCTAACAACCATCTGTGACTCCAGTTCCAGGAGAATTTGATGCCCTCTTCTGACCTCCAAGGGCATGACACAATATAAGCGCACTCACCTACATGCACTGACACACATAAAATAATAAAATTTAAAAAGAATATTCTGCAGGTCTAACTCTTCAGAATTTTGTTCTGTACAGCATTACTATGTGCAGTGGACCCAGGGCTCAGGGTTAGCTTCGTGTTTTGTACTTCATGGGGGAACAAATTTGCTGTGTTTGACCCTGGCCAGAATAGTCCCTTCCCTAACCTACTACCTTTCCTGCTTATCCTTCTGTTCCACAAAAATGCATCTATTAGAGGGACATTGTAAACCTCTGCCAGTTAGGGGAAGTGGGTTTGAACCTCAGGTCTGTCACTTCGTAATTATGGCTTTGAGGCTTTGTGAAAAGTGTTTATCCTCTGGGCACCTTGAGCTGGTGCAGAATGACAGTAAGTTGCCCCTGACAGGCTTCACAAGCCTTAAAATCCCAACCAGCATGCCTGCTGTGCAGTGGGTCTACAAGGCACCATTGCTGTTATTCTAGGGTTCCCAGCCTGTCCTTCTCCCCGCTGGAAGCAAGGGCCCAGAGGTGGCACAGGCTCCAGCCTTAGTATGAGTCTTTGTAACACATTACATGGGTCACTGTACACACTCACTGACGAAGTATTGGTAATCTATGAAGGAAAGTCAACTAATTCTGGAATGTTCTCTACAAAGGCTGAAAATATTTTCAGAAGAAAGTGTACCACTCTTTGGCCCACCCCTGCCATCCCCACCGGTGTTTACAGACCACCAGGAATTCAGGGACTTTTTGCTTGTGAAATGTAAGTTGTTTTTTGGGGGTGGTTGTTTTTTGAAATGCTTATGGAACTTGTTCTGGATCAGAATCTGTTTCCTCATATCCCCAGGATGCTGCATACAAAAGCATTGTTTAAGCAGTCTGCCCTGTTAATTCTTCACTTGTGTTTAGTTTTCTTATGGGTCCTTCTCTACACCTACCATCCTGCCCACCTGCCGTGCAGTTTTATCTTCTGTCACCACTCACAATGCCAGGGAGGACTCAAACTGGCCTTCTTGCCCTGGGTTCTGATGTCACCATTCTGAGTCTTTGCCAGTGTGTATCTGTCTTTGTCAGACAGGAGTAGAGGTTAGGGAAAGAACGATTATGAAGGTTATGCTACATGCTTAGAGACAGTTGTTGGGGAGGGAGAGAGAGGGGGAGAGAGAGAGAGAGAGAGAGAGAGAGAGAGAGAATGTGAATGGGGTGTGGAGAGCCTACCCACCCCAGAATGATGCCCAGGGCCCGACTCTGAGCCCCCATCTTCTGAATGACAGAGCTCTACCACACCCCTTATCAGAGCACCCTTGGTTATTGTATCAGAGCCCATTTCCTTGATGATCAGAACCAAGATGTTTGACTTCTTCCACTGTAATCTCTTCATAGAAGTTCAGCTTGCAGCCCCGGAGCCCTGGCAGTGCCACTCGGCCTGTGTCCTCTGTGAAGAGGCCAGGTCCAGCCTTCTGCCAAGCACGCTAGGGGCTGCAGCTGCTCTGCTGGCTTCTTCCTGCCCCTCACACCCACACACACATTGCCTAATCCTGTCACAGTTGCCATGCAGTTTGAGAGCATTTGGAATGCTCCTGTCCTCTCGCTGAGTCCATCTGGGAGACCTGGCCCCAAGGTGGCATTGACTGAGCCCAGAACCTCACAGAATCCCTCATGGACACCTGCTGCTCAACTTCCCATCTAATCCTCCTTCAGAATTGGCCAAAACCAGTGCCACAGCCCAGGCAAGTGACAGAGAACTGTTGTTCCTCCCTGTCTTATCTGCCCAGTCGACCACCAGAGCCCCTGAATGTGAGTCCTCTATCACAGTCACAGAAAATTTCCTTGTGTTTTCTACCCATGCAGGGCACTAAAGTTAGCTCCCAACCTTAGCCCACAGCAGAATCTCTGCCCCCAACATCAGAAGAGCAAACTGCAAACCACTTGGCAAAAGGCAGCTTCATACCTTCCATGTCCATAGGCTTTATTTCAGATACTGGGACAAGGGTCACAGACACAAGTATGTGGAGAGGTGGATGGGGATTTGTGAGTGAAGTAGACCAAGCAGGGGACAATGAAGATTAAATACTAGGAGCTGTGGCATGCTCTAGGACAGGACCCTGCTCCAGCAAGGTACTTCTTTCTGACTGCACATGCCCAATGTTGCCAGACATTCTGTTTCTAGAACAAGCTAGACTTGTGAAGTTTCTTCTGTTTCAAGTCCTGGAAATCAAGGAAGAAGGAAGAAACAGGGAAAGGTTGTTGTCGCTAACAGCCAAGAGAACTAGGGATCTGCAGGCACAGTAGAAAAGCACTCTGTAGGGTGCTGGTTGCAGGAGAGGGGTCAGGCCTGCAGTGCTTTAACCCCAGATTATTTAGAAGACTGCTCAACCATACTGGAGACCCACTTTTTTTAATATTTTATTTATTTTTATTTTATGTGTATTTGAATATGCATTGCCCGCATGTATACAAGTGCACCCATGTTGTGCAGTACTCAAGGAGGTCAGAAGAAGGCATTAAATGCCCTGGAACTGGAGTTACAGGTGGTTGTTAGCCACCATGTGGGTGCTGGAAACCAAACCTAGGTCTTGTGCAAGAGCAGCCAGTGCTCTTAACTGCTGAGCTGTCTCTCCACCCCTGAGAACTGCTTTGAACAATGGAGCTAGGCAGAGCAATGGTGCATCGGCACCTTTGAAAACTTGGGGAGAAATTAAATGATGTGGTTCAGTTGATCTGATGGTGAAGGTTTGAAAGGTAGCTGTGTTGGGAAACATAGGCAGAAGGAGCCAGAGGTGATGGAGAAGGTACTACATGATTGAGCCGGGGCCAGCAGAACCAGCAGGGCTGTGTGGCTGATGCCAATGAAAGCCGGAGATGCTGGATATGGGAAGGCTTTTGGAATCCCAGAGTGAATTTAGCAGAAAAGACCAAGCCAGCCAGGTCGAAAACTCCACGATAACTCAAAACACAACTTCAACAAAAATTCAGGTCTTTCCCCTAAATCTGCCAAAATAAGTCATTTAAAATGAAGTTTTCTAAGGTATTAAAGGAGAAAAATCCTCAAAAAATCAAATAGAGCAGTTGACATGCAGTTTAAATTCCTTAGAGATAGATGTCTTGCTTCAGAGAGGCTTACCTTGTCCCCAGCACAGAGAGCTTATCCTTGCTTTCCACACAAGAAATTCTGCTTTTCAGTTTATGAACTGACCTGCCTCTGTGTGAGAAAACTGATAGTTAATATTATATCCAATTCAATGTGCCTAACATTGTGTGGTTTATATTGTATCACCTCATTTAAATGACAGAAACCCCCTAAAAATGGGATCATGCTCATTTTGCAAGGTAGAAAACTGGAGCCCCAAAAGCTAAGACAAGATTAATTAAGACCCCACAGCCAGCAGCAGAGCTCCTGACTCCACACTCCTAACCTATTGTGCATTTCCTGTTCTGAGCTCTGGTGTGTAACTGCACTCCACTATGCTGTCTCTTAGTGTCTATAGTCCACTTTACACTAGCTTTCTCTAGAAGAAATTTCCAGTAAGCTATAGATCTAAGTCTCCTCCTGAAGCAGTTTTATTCCTTCAGACTACAGCAAATTATATATATATATATATTGAATGAGATCCTAGTGGTTTAGCTCCAAGGAAGGAGAGAAACAGAGGGAGGGAGGGGTTAGATGAATGGAGGGGCAGAGGGATGGATTAATGGAGGGATGGATGAATGGGTGGATGAATGGATGGGTGAATGAATGGATGGATGGATGGGTGAGTGGATCGATGAATAGAGGGATGAGCAGGTGGATGGATGGATGAATGAAAGGGTGAGTGGATCGATGAATGGAGGGATGGAATGAGTGGATAGATGAATGAATGAATGGTGAGCGGATCAATGAAGGGATGGATTGATGGATGGATGAATGAGTGGGTGGATAGATGAATGAATGAATGGTGAGCGGATCAATGAATGGATGAATGAAGGGATGGATTGATGGATGGATGAATGAATGAATGGGTGAGTGGATGGATGAATAGATGAATGGAAGGATGGATGGATGGGTGGATAGATGAAGGGAGGGATGGATTGATGGGTTCCATGTATGGCTAAATAGGTCTTTAAGTAAAATTAGATCTGCCTTCTGCTTGGGAAGCTTGCTGTCCATCAAGAGAAACTAAGCATGTCTATAGGCTTAGTTTCTGTGCACTGAATCTGCACACCGAAATTGAAGTCTCAAAGCATTCTTCCATGAAGAGAAAGTTAGGTCAGTGGTAATACCAGTTGTTTTGGTCAGTTTTCATCACTGAGACAAAATGTCTGAGGAAAACAACTGAAAAGAAGAAAAATTATTTCAGAAGTCTCAATCCATGGTCACCTAGCTCCATCAGTAAGAGCCTGGAGTACCGTGATAGGACATGGTGACAGTAGGGCACAGTGGAGGTTTGAAAGATGCTCACTTCATGGCAGTCAGGAAGCAGAGAGAGCAAGAGAAAGGGACTGGGGAACAAGATGCATCCTTCAGAGGTGCTCCCCTGTGACTCACTTCTCCAGCCACGTCCCACCTCCCCATGTTTCCACTGCCCCCCAGTAATGCCATCAAAGTATTGATCCATCAGTGAATTATCCCACTGATGAAATCAGAGCCTCATGATCCAACTACCTGTCAGAGGTGTATCCAGCTAAGGATTAGTTAGGCCCTTAACACTTTGGGGAACACTTCATAACCAAGCCCTGATACTACTATTACAGTGGCAGGTCTCATTCACTGTGAGAACTCTGCTTGAGCAGAATATTCTTCAATAACTATTGATGACTGCAATTCCATTTTTTACTTGATTTGTTTTAGTAATTAATGGTGAAAAAGCCACTTTGGAAACACCGACCTTTGCCCAGAAGCGTCGACGTACTCTGGACATGTTGATTCGATCCTTATACCAGGATTTGATGCCAGATTTGCATAAGGTACCTGTGTCGATGGTCTCCTTTTTCCCATGATGGAGTGCAGAGCTCACTCTTAGAAACAAGCCCTAGGTAAAGCAGAGTTCTTGTGGTCCTCACTGCTGAGACTGGCCTAGAGCCACCACCACTGGCATTGTCCCATTGCTACTGCAAGAAGGGGGGTCTTTGAGTGGCCATGTGCAAGAATGTGATATTCATAAAGCTGTAACCAAGGAACATCAAGGGGAAGGAAGGATCATGAATGTCAACACCCAGCACTGAGGCTGCTGTCAGGTGCTGTCCTTGGTGCTATACCCATGATGCTGCTAGATGGGTCAAAAACAGTGACTTTGAAGAGAGAAGAGTGGCCAAGTGCTTTCTTAGATTTTTCCTGGAGATTTCCTGGCTGGCCTCATAATCAGGCACTGGAATAATCATTTCATTGACTGGAAGCCCACTTTGTACTGGACACTTTGTAGGTCCAAGGCATGTCTGCATGCCCCCAGGAGGCCTCCAGACTCACCCTCTGAGGTTACCAGGATCAGTGACTCCTTAGTGGAGAGTAAAATCATTATTTAAAAGCTTGTCTCAGCCAGGCATGGTGGTGCACGCCTGTAGTCTCAGCACTTGGGAGGCAGAGGCAGGCGGATCCCTGTGAGTTCAAGGCCAGCCTGGTCTACATAGTGAGTTCCAGGACAGCTGGGGCTGCAGGGAGACCCAGTCTCAAAAAGACAACAACAACAACAAAAAAAAAAACTTGTCTCTAGGGTCCAGTGAGATAGCTCAGCAGATAAAGGCACTCATTCAAACCCCTAGGCCCACATGATGGAAGGAGATAACCAACTCCTGCAAGTTGTCCTCTGACCTTCAGACACCATGGCAAACACTTACTTGCACACATGCACTTAGACACACACACACACACACATACATACATACATACATACATACATACATACATACATAAATAAGTAATAAATGCAATTTTTTTAGATGGTCTCAGTCTATAGCCCTGGATGACCTGGAACTTTCCATGTAGACCAAGCTGGCCTCTAACCCACAAATATTTACTTGCCTCCGCTTCCCAAGTGCTGGAATTAAAAGTGTATGTCACCACACTTGGTAAATAAATATACTTTTCACATTTTTTAAATTTACCTATTTAGGGTCTGGAGAGATGGCTCAGCAGTTAAGAGCACTGGCTGCTCTTGCAGAGGACCTGGGTTTGGTTCCCAGCACCCACATGACAGCTAACAACCATCTGTAACTTCAGTTCCAGGGAATCCATCACCCTCTACTCACCTCCGTGGACATTGTATGCACCTGGTGCACTTACATAAATGCAGGCAGAACAATCATAAGCATAAAATAAAAATAAATCAAGGGCCAGGCATGGTGGCACCTACCTTTAATCCCAGAACTTGGGAGACAGAGGCAAGCGGATCTCTGTGAGATCAAGGCCAGCTTCCTCTATATAGTGAATGCTGGCCAGCTGGGGCTACAGGGAGACCCTATCTATAAATAAATAAATAATTTTTTTAATTTAAAAAGTTAACCAACTGATCCAAGCTAATCCACAAGGCCCTGGGGCCACACAGTCCCAGGGGTACCATGCACATAGAATTCAGTGTGCTGGGCTCTAGGGGTACCACTGGGTTCCATGGGGCTGGCATCCAAATCTATGCAGTATGATGACCTGGTGACACTGCTAACAGTTGATGGAGATGTTGGTTTACCTGGTCTAAAGCCTATGTAGTCAGCTGTTATATGGTGCTGCCTCTACACATGTGAACTATCCCTGTGTCCACCACAGTACTGAGTGACTCAGTAGTGGGTGGAAGCAGGACTGTCTGGACAAGCAGCTGTGTGCATTAAGAGATGACAAAGATGAGACCTGACAACTGTGTGTGGAATCCCTAACTTGTTTTTCTTTTTCAGAACATGCTTAATCGGCGGTCTTTTAGTGACGTTTTACCTGAGTCACCCAAGTCAGCACGGAAGAAAGAGGAGGCCCGCCAGGCAGAGTTTGTTAGAATAGGGCAGGTGGGTTTGATTCTGAAACTCTCCTGGGAGATGTGGTGATGAGTACCTCCAAGTTTCCTGCTGTTGTAGTATCTCTGTGATTCCTCTCAGGATTGTGGTGGAGAGACAAGACAAGTTTTGACAGCTGTGTTGGATGCAGTACCCTGAGTGAAAGAAAAGCACTCTATGATGGGGGAACAGCTCCTGCCTAGACTCAGGTGGTCTAGGATCATGCCTGTCAAGGAAATCCAGACCACTTGCTTATCCCCTAGGAATTCTCTGAAGAGTGAGGAACCAATTAGAGAATCACCAAATTGAACCCTAACCCTCCAATAGGAGGAAGTACTCAGTGGATGGTATCACTCACAGAAGACCCACAATCCTGCCCTTTTACATGGAGACAGTCCTCAGGCTTAGATGGTTCCTGTTCATTCCCTTGCCCTAAGCCTTGAAGGAAATCACCTTCCCCTTGCCACAGTCCCCTGGTGACACTAGCAGTTCTCCATCCCAGGGTTTCTACCCTGACACCACACCATTAGCAGGAAAAGGGACACCAGCACCAGATAAGCTCTGACCCAGAAGTCGAGTGTCAAACAAGGCAGGTGAATGAAGGTCCTGTGATCAGCAACAACTTGGAGGTAAAGAGCACATTTTCCCAAACATGTGTCTGTATTTATTGAAAGATAACTGGGGCTGGCAAGATATATCAGTGGGGGAATGTGCTTGCCACCAAGCCTGACAACCTGAGTTCAGTTCTTGGGATTCATATGGTGGGAGAGAACTGACTCCTATAAGTTATCCTCAGACTTTCACAGGTGCACCATGGGACACACACACACACTAAATAATTTGCATGTGACCAAACAAACGTGCAGGTGCCCAAGGAGGCCAGAGAGGGCATCAAATCCCCCAGAGCTAGAATTACAGATGACTGTGAGCCACAGAATACCAGTGCTGGGAACCAGACTCAGGCCCTCTGCAGGAGCAGCAAGCATTCTTAACTGCTAAGCCAACCTTAATAAATGTAATTTTTTAAAAATTTCTAGAAAGCCAGACATGGTGGCATACACCATTAATCCCAGCAGTAGGAAGGCAGAGGCAGGCAGATCCTGTGAGATTGTGGCCAGCTTGGTCTACATAATGAGTTCCAGGCCAGCTGGGGCTGCAGGGAGACCCTGTCTCAAAAAGACTAAAAAAGAAAATTGCTAAAGGATTGGGGCTGGATAGATGACTCAGCAGTTAAGAGCACTTACTTCTCTTCCAGAGGACCTAAGTTCAGTTTTCAGCACCCACATGGCAGCTAACAATGATCCATAACTCCAGTAGAAGCCAGAGTATCCCATGACTACTACTGGCTTCTGTGGGCACCAAGCATACATGTAGTGCACTTATATACATGCAGGCAGAACACTCACACCCATAAATTAAGTAAAATCTTAGGGAATGAGGACATGTCCTGCAATTCTGAATGGGTTAAAAAAATTAACAAACATTTAAAAATAAATTTAAAAAAAAGAATAGAGGGGCTGGAGAGATGGCTCAGTAGTTAAGAGTACTGACTGCTCTTGCAGAGGACCCGGGTTTGATTCCCAGCACCCACATGGCAGCTACGAACCATCCTTAGCTCCAGTTCTAGGGGAACCCAAAGCCCTCTTCGGACCTCCGCAGCATTGCACAACACAGGTGCTCTCACATACATGTAGGCAATACACTCGTACATATAAAATAAAAATAATATTAAAAAAAGAATAGAGCCAGGCATTGGTAGCACATGTCTTTAATCCCAGCACTTGGGCAGCAGAGACAGGCGGATCTCTGAGACCAAGGTCAGCCTGGTCTACGTAGTGAGTTCCAGGCCAGTTGGGGCTACAGGGAGACCATGTCTCAAAAAACAAAAAAAAAGATAAATTCACCTTTTCCTTCCAGGGATGGTGAATCAGGAGTAGGAGGGACCTGGGAATCTATATTTTTCAATGCTCCTAATTTACAAAGCATAGAACTAATATAGTTCATTGAAGTGCCAGAGACCTTGGGGGTAGTTTGGATCATTATATTGTCACTAGGGCTTTACCAGTCTCCCTAATTCCTTATCATCAATGCTGAGTCAGAGAGGAGACTGCAACTTTAATCCCAAATTACTCCTAATTTATTGCTTGTTTTCAAACCTCAGTTGTTTGCCTTGCTGTGCTTTCACTGCTTGATAACAAAGACCTCTCTGTTCCATAAGGCCCTAAAACTGAAGTCCATCGTGAGAGGGGATGCCCCATCAAGCCTGGCAGCTTCAGGGATGTATAAAAAAGAGGTGAGTTGTCGATACTTTCCATTGGAACTGTGAATGTCTTTTTTGCTCGATACAGTTATTGAGAATCTTGGGAGACAGTTTGGGACAGAAGAAAGATTTCTCTCAAGTCCTCAGGAGCCCAGATCATATAGCAAGAGCCTCTGTGTCCCTGTAACTCCCTTTCCCTGCATGGATGGAGAGCTCTGAGCCAGGCCTGATCAGCCAGGCTGGTTCCCAGTACTCCTCAAGTGCTGTGTGCATGCATGTCAATAGGACAGGTGACCAGGTATGCGCTCTGGTGCAGGAGGACGGGTTGGGGTCAGAGTGGACATCTCTTACACATTGCACACAGTTCTTGCCCAGTCTAAACAGCAAGACTCAAGCAGGGATTCTCCTCACAGAGTGTATCCAAGTCACCCCCAGTTTCTGATGCAACCTTGGAGGTCACTGCCAGTTTTTGATGCAGCCCTGGGGGTGGACATCAAAGATTCCTCTCCTAGTATCATTATTGCTGTTGCTGTAATAAAATACCCTGAGCCCCGCCCCCAAAAAAAACTCAGGAGAAAAAGGGGTTTATTTTAGCTCACAATTCCAAGTCACAGCCCATCACTTCAGGGAAGGCACAATGGCAGGAGCTTGAGACAGCTGGCACGTCACATCCACAAGTGTAGAGAGAGATGAATTCTTGCTTACATGCTTGCACTCAGATCAGTTTCTCCACACTTGCACAATTCAAGATCCCCTGCCTAGGAATGGTGCTGCCCAGCGTGGGCTGGGTCTTCCTACATCAATTAACTGAAGATAGTCCCCCACAGACATGCCCAGAGCCAAGCTAATGTAGGCAGCCCCTCATTGAGACTTTCTTCCCAAGTGATTCTAGGTTGTATCAAGCTGGTGGTTAAAGATAACCATCATTAGTTACTTTTCTAACTAGTTCTCAGGGACTGCTAGTCATAGGTGCACAGGTGAGAAACAACTGCATAAGCCACTTAGCCAAACACCAAGTCCTGTGGCCTATCTTCTTCCTGCTTTCACTTTTAGAAGCAGGGGAAAGGGAAACAGGTGGCCATCAAGAATAGAACAGACCTGGCATGGTGGCACACATCTTTGATCCCAGCACTAGGGAGGCAGAGGTAGGCAGATCTCTTTGAGTTCAAGGCCAGCCTGGTCTACACAGTGAGTTCCAGGTAAACTGGGGCTACAGGGAGACCCTGTCTCAAAAAGACCAAAGGAGGAGGGGGAGGGGAGGGGGAGGGGGAGTTAAGAGCACTGGCTGCTCTTGTGGAGGACCCGGGTTCAGTTCCCAGCATCCAATGGTGGCTAACAACTCCAGTTCCAGGGGATCTGACACCTTCTTCTGACCTCCATGGGCATTCTATGACATGGGTGCACTTGCATACACACAGGCAATATACTCATACACATAAATTTTTTTTTAATTAAAAATAAAATTTTTAAAGAAAAGAACAAAAGGGGCTGGAGAGATGGTGCAGCAGTTAAGAGCACTGGTTGCTCAGAGAACCCAGGTTAAGTTCCTAGCACCCACATGGTGGCTAACAACCATTTGTAACTCCAGTTCCAGGGAATCTGACACCCCCTTCTGGCCTCTGCGGGCATTGCAAAACACTGGTACACTTACATATACACAGTAAAATACTCGTACATCATATACACAAAGATAATAAATATAATATTTTTTAAGAAAAGATCAGAAAAAACACAAATCACAGTATAAACTTACTATATGCATAATTTTATATTATAAAACAATGCTCTATGTGCTTAATTCTATATTGAATATTTAAGTGAAACAGAACAGATACACAGAACACATCATTAGAAAAATGTCCATTATAGAAGTGAAAGAATGATGAAGACGTTTACTTAGTGGTAAAAGCATATATGATTTGAGCCCCTGTGCTTTAAATTTGATTTCAGGACCAGCAAGATGGCTTAGTGGGTAAAGACATTTGATGCTCAAGTCTGACAACCTGAGTTCAATCCCTAGGACCCACATAAAAGTGAAAGGAGAGATCCAATTCCACAGAACTGTGGCACAGGCGCCTACACACATCATGCACACACATACACACACACACACACACACACACACACACACTAATTAATTAATTAATTTTAAAGTCTGGTTTCAGGAAAATAATAAGCCCAATGTAATTGAGGGGCTAGGGAGACAGCTCAATAATTAAGAGCACTCACTGCTCTTGCAGATGACCCAAGTTTGATTCCCAGAACCCAATTGAGCAGCTCACATCCACCTGTAACCCACATTGAGCAGCTCACATCCACCTGTAACTCCAGCTCCAGAGGATCCAACGAGATGGCTCAGTGGGCACTTGCCATGCCTCACAGCCTAAGTTCGATCCCTGGGACCCACATGATAGAAGGAAACAACCAACAAGTTGTTCTCTGTTCACTGTGCATGTACCTCCCAGTACTAATTAATTAATTACTAAGGGGCTGGAGAGATGGCTTAGTGGTTAAGAGCACTGGCTGCTCTTACAGAGGACCAGGGTTTGGGTCTCAGTACCCACGTGATGGCTAACAATGATCTGTAACTCCGGTACCAGGGAATCCAACACCCTCTTCTCACCTCCACAGGCACTGCATCCACAGGCATTGCACAACATTGGTACACTTTACATACATGCAGGTAATATACTCATACATATAAAATAAAAATAATAAATAAAAAAGTTCCTAGGCATATATTGGAACCATAACTTTTTCATCCATACAAAAGAAAAGGTGCTTCCCTTGTTGGAATCAGTTCATATCCAGAAGGACTCCACAGGTCACCCTTGGAGAAACTGCTCCAAAGGCCCCCACAAATCCTCTAGTGCCCTCGAGTCTTCATGGTGAAGAACCTCTCTCTGAATGTGTCCTCTGGCCAGAGAACACTTTGCTTTTAAGACTCAGTTGAGGGCTGGGGAGATAGCTCAATGAGCAAAATAAGGGACTGAGTTCAGATCTCCAGCACCCACATAAAAGCCCAGTGTAGTGGTATATGCCTATAACCCCAGTGCTTGGGGGCAGAAAGTGGAGGATCCTAGGGGATCCTTGGTGGCCAGCTGGTCTACCCAAACTGGTGAGCTTCAGAGTCAATGAGAGACCCTGCCTCAAAAAAAAAAAAAAAAAGGGGAAATAAAAAAGCAACAAAATAAGATCAAAAAGCAATTAAGGAAGGATAACCCAATGTCAACACAGACCTGCACAGGCAGCACACCTACACACACACACACATACACACACACATACACACACACGCACATTCAGTTGGTCTGTCTTGATATTACCTAAAGCATTGGTTTCGATGTCTAACTTCCGAATGGCATTTCTATTGCCTTTGCTTTTTCATGTCCTCTTACTACACATCACAAACTCAGAACCGCCAGGCTTCTCTTGAGGGAAATACCATTTCAGTCAGACACCTGTCTCTGTTTAGAAGATGTTTCCATCTCTGGAGAACAGTACAGGTTCCATCTTGACAAGCACAGTCTTCCTTCTGAGGCTGTGGGTTTCCTAAAGAAGCCTGCTCTTTGACAGCTAGCAATAATCCACAGTGTTTAGTCTCTTCCCTAATGATGCTCTCAAAGAAGGTCCTTGGAGCCTTTCTTGGACTTGAGGATATAAGCGTGTCTCCACTGGGCATTCAAACACACCTGAAAGTGCTCACATGGGCTCTCCGACTGTCCCAGGTGAGTCATGTCTGGCCCTGTGTCTAGTAGAGAATAGACATAAAGATGTATTGTTTCCGCTTATCCCTGGAATGCTCCAAAGACTTCCAAAGTACCTGTCTAAGAGAAGTTCTCTGAAAGGAAATGAGTGACCATTGAAAAATGTTCACAGTTCTCAGCTCTAGGGATAAAGCTCCATGGGGAGGGCACTTGCCTGGCATGCAGGAGGCCTGGGTTCAGTGCCCCAGTATCACACACACACACACACACACACTCACTCACTCACTCACTCACCAGAAACGTCCACAATGCTGGTGTGACTGAAATCACAGTAGGCATGCCTTTCAACTCCATATCTCCACACCCACCTCAGAGGCCACTGTGAGGGGGAGTTTATGCCTGAAATAGAAATGAAGCTAAGATCCCAGGAAACGTGTTCAGGCAGTGTGCACATGTCAAACAGGATCAGGAGGTATTTCATTCCCAACCCTTGTTGTTTTCCTACAAACACATTTTTTCTTTTAAGATTTTCTAACCTTGTGTGGGTCAGTAAGCATTTCTAATATTAAGACGGTATCAACTTCTTGAATTGTGTATGGTTTAATGATTTTGCCGAATCAGCAACACAGGAATCTTGTCTTTTTTAAAATAGTTATGTGGGACTTCCTTTTATGCTGAACCTACATGAACTCTTTAAAAAATTTTTTTAAAAAGGGCACTAATTGACCCAACTTCTGGGTGTTAAAGAAAATGCTTTTAAAATGTTATCAGTATTTCTGTTGCCCAAAGAACAGCATCATCTTATAGTGAAATACAGGTCACGGTGCCAGAAACATGGGAAACTACTTCTTTCCTGTGGCATCCACATTTGAAAGGAGAGCTTTCTCCTTAGGAAAGGTAACTGCGTCCAGACCCCTCCTAGTGACCAGGGTCTGGCACAACTCATTCCCACGGAGTATCTGTGTTACTGTTTCAGGCACCACGTGCTGCGTTCCATTTGGTGGGCCGCAGTGTGTTCTTTCCGGTACACTTACTCTCGATGCTTGTGTCGCTCACAGCCCTGGGAGCCCCAGTGTTTCTGCAGTAATTTCCCTCACGAAGCTGTGTGTGCAGATCCCTGGGGCCAGGCCTTGCTGGTTTCCACTGATGCGGGCGTCTTGCTAGTGGATGGTTAGTGAGTAGCTGCTCCTACAAATGTTTTTATTTGTGTGACCTGTAGTCCTTTGGAGGTGGGTAACAGCCAGTCATCTCCTTTAGACCAATAACGTGTGGTCCCAAGGGGAGTTAGCCAAGTTTAATTTTCTTATAAAATTAACCCCATGTTTTCAAGCAAGCACTAGGAGAGGAGTATATTTTGAACTTGGCATGGTGGAGTTTTTCTTTTTTCTCTTACCCCCAAGTCTCCAATTAGTTCCTGGCTATTAAGTCACCTGCTAAAAGAGTCTCCTTTTCAGCCTACACTTACCATGACCCCATCACTTTGTCTTAAATGAAAAGGGACATGTTGTTTAGAGTCACTCGGATATGAGCTCTCTCTGGAAGCCTTTTAAAAAAAGATTTCTGATTGGAAAAGAATTTGACATCTAAAACAAATGCTATGAATCTTAGATAGGCCATTTTTATGGCTATAGAAGCAGAAAGATTTTGACAAGAAGACAGATTTCAATTCAGTATTAAATGAGACCTTCTGAGAGTGAGCTAGATCAACCTGCCTAGGAAGTAGGCATTGCTCTAACATACAGACCAACCACCATAGGACGTGCCCTTGGTCATGGGTGCTGTTAGGTAGGATGCAACTTCAGGGGGATAGGATGTAAGCTCCAGAATAATATGGTCCCTTTCAGCAAGAGGTGTCTCTAGATTACTGCAGACTCCTAGCAAACAACAGAGAAGCTAAACGCTGGCTGCACAGCCCTGGGACATATGAGGGAACCACAAGCACAGAGGTTATCAGCCTCACAGGGCACATCCTTGGGCTGTACAGTACCTGCCAACCTCTGGTTACCATAGTGCCATGCTGTAAGAATCAAAAAGCCACCATTGTGATAGTGGCTTGATGGCCAAAAACTGCATCATCTTCCCACCTTTTGGCAAGGCCTTCCCTCCCTCAGACCCCTACTTAACACATGTACTAAGTACCTGCTCTGTGCCTGGCCCCATGGCCAGGTGCGCTCTGCTCAGTAGTGAAACACTTGCCTAGGATCATAAGGCCCTGGGTTCCCCCTCTTCCCCTCCCATCAACAGAAAGAAAACCCATCTTCTCTGAGCTTCCGGTCTCAAAAGGCTGAGAAACAGTTTATGATAATGGAAAAGGAGACACCGGGGATAGTTATTAAAACCACAGGATGGTCAGGGCTACGGACTTCCCATGTAAGTGCTTACAGCTGTCCCTGGCATGTAACAGCAAGTTATTAGAAGGTAGCTGTTATCTTCACTGTGTGTCCAGGAATTTACTATAAACTAACAAAATCTTCAGATTTTTGCCAAAAGTGCAACCAAAACAAATACTGTTTTTAAGAAAACCAAGCCAAGCTGGGTGTGGTAGCACACGCCTTTAATCCCAGCAGAGGCAGGTGGATTTCTGTGAGTTCAAGGCCAGCCTGGTCTACATAGTGAGTTCCAGGACAGCTGGGGCTATGGGGAGCCAAAAAGATCAAAAAAAAAAAAAATCAAGCCAGACCTTAGATGTTTAGTCTCTTAATTTTATAATTGAAGAAACAACATGGCCTGCCTGAAATCACACAGCTGTTCAGTGGCACATCAGATCTGGAGCCAGATGCAATTCCTAGTCTGGTGTTCTTTGTATGGAACCAACTCCCTTCCATTAAAGCCACAGTAAATTCTGCCAGTGTCTTTTCTGACTGTCCTTGTTGGGTGTTGCTGGGAAGGAGACACATCTGAAGGCTTTTGTACCATAACGCCCTTATTTCATTCTGCCTTCTGGTCTACACTTAATCATATTATGGATTGTTTTGTCAGTGGATCTGTCCCTTTCATTTCAGGCTAATTTCCACTCTATTCCATTAGCCTTTGCTTAATTTCATTAGACTTTAATGAAAAAAGTCTACTCCTTCAAGGTCATTATTTTAAAAAAAAAAAATCAATATCCTTTACACTCTAAGTATAGCAAATCCTCTTTAAAGGGGCTATTAACTTCTGAATAAATAGGCAATCCCCATGCCTTTTGGCTTTGTGGTAATAGAAAAGCTCTCCATAAAAGATTGCTTCTTCATACAGAGAATGCAGAAAGGAATAATTAATAAAGCAGGCATTAAGCACACGTCTTTCTCCTGTCTTTACCTTCTCTGCCTCGCTGTGCTGAACATAACTCAGTCTCGCCAGCTGAGGAAGGGATGGAGAATAAATACTAATTCGCTCATGCTGGCTTGTCAGCTACACAGTGCACCTCTATTCCCAACAAAAAAAATGAGGCACTCCATGCCTTATGGGATGTCCAAGATGTGACCTTGGACAAGCTTTCTGAACTTCTGAGCCTTGAGTTCCTTCTTTGTTAAATGGAAGTATCACAGGTCCCTTACCGATCTGGTAATTGAGACATCTAAATTAAATAATAGAGGAAGCACTACACATCAGGGGCTGGCTTACAGTAAGCCCTTAGTGAATGTGGCCTGCCATTCCTGATGCAGCCGTGGGCCCATAAAATAAAATAACTGCAGTTATTCACCCAAATATGACAGTATTGGAGTAATCAGCCTGTGGTGTGAACAGTAAATCTACCCATCAGCGATGACTCTTGGAGTCGATTTCTTTTCATGAAGGCCTGGAGTAGAAGAGGAAGCACTGTGGTTGATGGCTGTCATAAGATTCACACTTGCCCTAGAGGAACTAGAGGCAAGCCCCAAGAGACTGAGGGGAGCAGGGACAAGTTGTATATCTGATGGGAGCATGGCAGCCCCTAAGTTCTGACATGTCCAGAGCATCCCAGGCCTGCTGGAGCTGAAGCCTCCTCACACTGGGGGTGTTTATTGATCCTGATGGCAGAGGCCCTTGCTCCCACCTGGGCCCCATCCAGAGAGGGATCAGAGGCCAGAAGCCCAAGGCCTCTTGTACGTAAAGTATAAAAAAAAACAAGCCAGGGCTGGAGAGATGGCTCAGCAGTTAAGAGCACTGACTGCTCTTACAAAGGACGCGGGTTTGATTCTCAACCTCCACATGGTGGCTACAAACCATCCCTAACTCCAATTCCAGGGGAATCCAAAGCCCTCTTCTGACCTCCGTGGCATTGCACAACACAGGGGCACTCACATACATGCAGGCAATACACTCCTACACATGAAATAATTAAAAACAAAAAACAAACCAACTCAATCCCACAGCAGAGCCTTGGAGACTTAAGTACAGATGAAGAATGAGCCAGCAGCCAGGTGGTGGTACACACCTTCACTCTCAGCACTCCGGAGGCAGAGGCAGATGGATCTCTGTGAGTTTGAGGCCAAACTGATCTACATAGGGAGTTCCAGGCCAGTTAGAGTTACATAGTGAAATCCTATCTCAAAAATCCAAAAAGAATGAGCTGTCGTCCACCTCTGCCTAGGCTGTCCACACCATCCCTGGTGGTCTTAGCCTTCCCGCAACAAGCACAGAACAGGAGGAATCTTCCACTACAGAAAAGCCTGAGCTATTCTTCTAGACAGTGTATCCTGGGGTCCCCAAGAGGCAGAGTAACTGTTAGAACCCTTTAATAGCCCAACAGATAACCTTAGAATCAACTTTTATACATAACTACAGTGCCTTTAGTCATCCAGTTACCCGAAATCTTCTGAGCATCTCTACTTAAATTAGTTTATTCCTGCTCTTTGGGCAATTAATAATTGCCTCATTTTTATCTTTAAAAAAAGATTTCAGGGGCTGGAGAGATGGCTCAGCGGTTAAGAGTACTGACTGCTCTTGCTGAGGACCTGGGTTCGATTCCCAGCACCCACATGGCGGCTATGAACCGTCCTTAACGCCAGTTCCAGGGGAATCCAAAGCCCTCTTCTGACCTCCGCAGCATTGCACGACACGGGTGCATTCACATACATGCAAGCAATACACTCATACACATAAAATAATAAAAACAATAAATGAAAAGATTTCAAATTCTGATCTGAAAAACAATATTTAAAATGTATAAGCAGGGGTTTGAGATATGGCTCAGCAGTTACGAGCACTGACTACTCTTGCAGAGGATCCAAGTTCAGTTCCCAGCACCTGTCCTTAATCCAGTTGCAGTGAATCTGATGTCCTCTTCTGGCCTCCACAGGCATTGCATTTATGTGGTATGCTTATATACATGTAGGCAAAACTTTCATACACATAAAAATAACTCAAATGTATAAGCAAACTACTATTGAACTACTAAAATAACTCAAATGTATAAGCAAACCACTATTGAGGGCATGCTAGGGTAGGATGTGTTTGTATTCATTTTAAATGTAAAAAATTTTAAATTTGCTTTCTTGAAAATTACATAAAATAACCTAAGATATATTTTCAAATATTACTAAAAATAAAAAATCACTGCTCTATTTTTTTCATATGGAGTTCAGTCATTTGCTACGACCCTAGTAAACCTGGGATTGAAGCGTGCTGGTTTTTCTTCAGTGATATAAAGGAGAAAAACAGCTTCCATATCCCCTGGAAAGTGTTCCAGATGCCACTGGGAAGGGCATGTTAGCACTTCTCCCAAGTAGAGCAAGCAGTGTCTAAACTCCTTATGAGAGCCCTAAAAGCAGACTCCTCCCTTGAGAGAGAATAGGGCCCAGGTCTCCCTGAAGGAATGCATCACACAAGTTACGCAGTGCGGGTAACCAGCTCTCCTTTTCCAGATGGCCTTCCGTCCGTGCCTGTGTTTGACAGAACTCTGCCCGTGAAGCAAATGCATGTGCTGGAGACTCTAGACCTTCTGGTTCTCAGAGCAGACAAAGGTGGTACCCCTCTCCCTCCAAGTGGTGCTCTCTGGGAAGAGGAGGAGGGCAGGAGGTCCCCTGTGGGAGATGCTGAGGGTCACATTGGATGTGTGGAGCCATGTTGCTGTTACTTTTCCTGGTGCCAATGTACAGTCCTTTGCTGGCCTGCTTGTTGGGGGTGACGGCAGAGCAGTGAAAGGCAGAGTAGTCATGTCCACCCATGATTGTGCTAACTAAAGTTGCTTGGAATGCCTCTTGAATCCCAGAACACCTCCCAACCCCAGTTCCCTACATCTGCCCTTAGAGTGCCAGCAGGTCTTTTTTTTCTTCTCCATCCAACCCTCTCCTCTGCCTTGCTCACCATCACCAGGGAAAGATGCTCGCCTCTTTGTCTTCCGGCTGAGTGCCGTACAGAAGGGCCTTGAAGGCAGGCAGGCTGGAAGGAGCAGATCTGACTGCCGAGAAAACAAGCTGGAGAAAACCAAAGGTGAGGGGCTGGGGATGTAACTTGGCTGCTAGAGGGCTTGACTAGCATGCACGAGACCCTAGGTCTGATCCCAGCACTGCATAAGCCATCCCTGGCTACATAGTGACTTTGAGGCTAGCCTGAGCTACATGAGACCCTGTCTCAAAAAAAAAAAGGAAGGAAAGAAAGATGGAATAATAAAACCAGCAAGATGGCTCAGTGGGTAAAGGTACTTGCCACTAAGCCTGAATATCCAAGTTTGATCTTCAAGATCCACATGGTGGAAGGAGAGAACCAGCTAGTCTAACCATGGCACTGGACACACACACACACACACACACACACACACACACACACAATAAATGTAATTTTTTTTTGGTCTTTTTGAAACAGGGTCTCCCTGTAGCCCCAGCTGTCCTGGAACTCACTATAGGCTGGCCTTGAACTCAGAAAGATCTGCCTGCCTCTGCCTCCCAAGTGCTTGGACTACAGGTGTGCACCACCATGCCCAGCCACAATGTAATTTTTAAAATTTATGTGATTTTTGCACTTCCCATTAGAGCTGTTTCTATTAACTTTTTTCAGACCGCCTAGGTTGTACTGAAAATAAAAATGAACAGGAAAGAGCAAAATAAATAATTCCTCCTTGGAGGAAAAAAATCTAAGCAGGAGTCTTAGGGGTATAGCTCAGAAGTAGCACACTTGCCGAGGATGTATAAAGCTCTGGGTTTGATTCCCCAGATCTGGAGAAAAAAAGGAAAGAGTAGGAATTTTCTCTTTCTGGTTTGTTTCTTACTCAGAAGCATCCCAAAGAGAGCACCAAGATTTTCTTGAGAATCTGGAAAACTAGGAAAGCAGGTTGTAGACAGGAAGCCCTTGCCTTTGTCACAGGACTTTGGGCAAGTTGAGCTCCCTTAGCTAATCTGTAACTAAAGATAACTTTAGACTTTGGTTCTTGGAGCCCTGATCAGCCTCCACTTCAATTCCTATTGTATAACAGTTACAAAGCCAAGTTCACAAATTGTAGAATAGGGGAAGCAAGCCAGGTATGGTGGCACACACCCCAGTACTGGGGAGGCAGAGGCAGGCAGATCTCTGTGAGTTCAAGGCCAGCCTGGGGCTACAGGGAGACCCTGTCTCAAAAAGACCAAAATAAAAATAAAAATACAGGGAAGCTGACTCTCCTAAATTCACTTCCATGCTCCATCTTGCTTGGTGTATTAGTTATATTTCTCATGACTGTAACCAAAATACCAGACAAGAAACAAGAAACATTTTAAGAGAGGAGGGTTTATTCTTGCTTAACAATTTAAGAAGGGCTGCAGTCTGAAATGGCAGCAGGAGCATGGAGCCACTGTTCTTGTTTCATCTGCAGTCAGGAAGCAGAGGGCTGACAGCAAGTGGGACTGGGCTGCAAAGCCTCAAGGCCCACCACTAGTGACCCACTTCCTCTAAAGCACCACCTTCTAAAGTGACACCAACTTGGACCAAGTGTTCAAACACATGAACATGGGAGGATGCATTTCACATTCAACACCTGGTACCAGAAACCTGCTTAGTCCATCTCTGAGTTATGCTTCATTTTCAGGGTTCATAGGAACAATTTCCAAGCTGCCCAGGCCCAGGGCCTTCCAGCCCTCCCATCACACATTGAGAATCATCTGTTTCTCTTTCCAGGATGCCACCTGTATGCTATTAACACCCACCACAGCCGAGAGCTTAGAATTGTGGTTGCAATTCGGAATAAACTGCTTCTTATCACAAGGAAACACAAACCTGGGGTGCCTGGTGCCTCCCTGTTATCTCCCCTGTCAGAGTCTCCTGTTGAAGAATTCCAGTACATCAGGGTAGGTCTGCTTCCTAGCTTGCTGCTGTCCTGACCACAGTGTCATAAGCTGACTCTCTCCCTCCAATCCTGGGACTTCCCTACTGCTAAGTAACCCTCTAGGGAGCCACAGCCTCCTGTGCCCTAGTTTACCTGGACATCTAAGGTGTGTGCTCGTTTATCCCAGTGCATGCCTCCAGGGCTGCTCTAGGCACGGAGGATGCAGCAGTGACCCACACAAAGCCTCTCCCCACAGAGACTGAGTTTTAGTGGGAACATAACAGAGATGAACAAACAATGTCTGATACCGTGCAGAAAATCAACACTGAGAGTAGAGTATGGGGCTGAAGAGATGGCACAGCAGTGAAAAGCACATAGTGCTCTCCAGAGGACCCAGCTCAGATTCCCACCACCCACTTTGGGCAGCTCACAATTGCCTATAACTCCAATTCCCGGGGGCTCTGACATCTCTGACCTCAAAGGGCACCAACACTCATGTGCACAGACCTACACACACACACACATACATAAAATTTTAAAAATAACAATGGGGAGGCAGAGGCAGGCAGATCTCTATGAGATCAAGGCCAGCCTGGTCTACATAGTGAGTTCCAGGCCAGCTGGGACTATCGGGAGACGTCTCAAAAAACAAAACAAAAAATGGTTCTGGCCACTCAGTAGAAAAGCACACAGGGGACCAAGAGTAGCAATCAGGAGACCTGCTCAAAGGCCAGAGGAGGACCCAAACAGACCATACTGGTCTTGGCAGCTGGAGAAGCTGAGATCAAAGCTGTCTGCCAACCTTTGTCAGCAGGATATGATGACGGATTGAGGGTGTGGCCTCAGAAGTGAAGCCTTCTGAGATCAGGTTCCTTCCCTGGTCCTCCTACCTTTTTTAAAATTGGCAGCTCATCAAGCATTGGCCACTAGGCGGAGAAGGTAGTTTTCCTGAAGTCAAGGCTTCCTAAGTACGTACATCTGTTTCTGCAGCTCTTCAGTGCAGGGGGCCGGAACACACTGTCAAGTAAAACAAAGGGGTTAGAGAGATGGCTTGGCAGTTAAGAGCACTGATTGCTCTTACAGAGGATCTGAATTCAGTTCCCAGCACCACATGAAAGCTCACAACTGTGTAACTCCAGTTCCAGGGGATCTGACCCCTCTTCTGGCCTCTAGGGGCATTGTAAGCACATGGTGCACATACATACATGCAAGTAATACACTTAGACACATAATAAATAAATGAAGTTAAAATCTTGCTTTAGCTGGGCATGGTGGCGCATGCTTTTAATCCCAGCACTTGGGAGGCAGAGGCAGGCGGATCTCTGTGAGTTCAAGGCCAGCCTGGTCTACATAGTGAGTTCCAGGTCAGCTGGAAGATCCTGTCTCAAAAAGACAGAAAAAAAAAAAATCTTGCTCTAATTAGTGTCCTCATGACCTTGGATCCCAGCTCTATTATTATTATTTAT